GTTACAAAAAGAATAGAATAGGTAAAAGAGCCTCAGGAGGTGTGGCTATCTTCGTTAAAAATAATATAGATTGTCTTGAAATTAAAATTGATAACTTAAAAACTATTGAAGCACATGCCATTACACTTGAAGGCGGTATCCATATTGTCGCTTTATATGCCCCGAAAAAAAAATAGAGATAGCAGATCTCCAAAAAATATTCAAAATTAGTAATAAAATAATTGCAGCAGGAGATTTAAATGCCAAACATGTAAGCTGGAACTGTCCCTATAATAGCAGTAATGGCAATATAATTTTTGATTTTATAGAAATATATCCGTATATGTTGTCACTCCCGGAAGAATATACATTATATCCGCATAATTCCAAAGCAAGGCCCAGTATCGTTGATATGGCAATCATTAAAGGCTTTCCCATACCCATAAATAGTAAAGTCATCAATGAATTGAATTCAGATCATAAACCAGTTTTCATGTCTTTTAGTGATACCTCTATAACTTCTTCATCTAATATAACTCCAAAAATTCTAGATTATAAAAATGCAAACTGGAATATATTTAAACAAATAATTAATACTGATTTAAAATTAGATACTCTGCAAAATATTGAAAATGTGACCCAAATAGATTCAACTATAACAAAGCTAAATCAATTACTCAATAAAGCCATTAATGAATCCATACCATTAAAATCCTGTAAATCGTTTAAAGAGAAACTTCCTGATGAAATTATCCAACAAATAAAACATAAAAATAATCTTCGTAAAATTTTTCAAAAAACTAGAAATCAAAACTTAAAACCAATAATTAATGAAGCGTGTAGAAGCATTAAACAAAATATCATAAATTTTAGAAACACTAATTGGGAAAATAAACTCTCGTCACTTGACACTAAAAATAATTCACTCTGGAAATTCATAAAAGTTTTAAAAGGTAAAAGCTCAAGATCCATCCCACCCTTAGAAACCCCGAATAGTATAATTTTTAATAATAAAGAAAAAGCTGAAGTGATAGCAAATAATTTTGAACAAGTGCATAAAATGACAGACAATATGGGAACTGCGGAAAATAATGAGCATGTTCATAGTTTATATAATGATATTGTAGATTCTAATTTCGATGCTAATGATATTAAGTTGACCACACCTTTGGAAATCAAGCAAATAATAAACAAATTTAAACCTAAAAAAGCTCCAGGTATTGATGGATTTCAAAATATAATTTTAAAATACTTACCTAAAAAAGCACTAGTCCAACTGACGTATATTTTCAATTCCTGCTTAAAATTTAGCTACTTTCCAGAGGTGTGGAAAACAGCCAAAATTTTACCTATTTATAAGCCAGGTAAACCAAAAAATGATCCTAAAAGTTATAGACCTATTAGCTTGCTTCCCACAATAAGTAAAACTTTTGAATCAATTTTATTGAATAGATTAAAAACTTTTGAAAATGAAAATAAACAACTTATACCTGAGCAATTTGGCTTTAGAAAAGATCATTCCACAGCTCAACAATTAGCTAGATTCACAGATTTTATTTCAACCAAATTTAATATTAAGCATAGTACCGCAGCTCTATTCTTAGATATAGAAAAAGCCTTTGACACAGTTTGGTGCAAAGGACTTATTTATAAATTAAATAATTATAATATACCTTTGTACCTGATTAAAATTATAGATAACTATTTAAAAAATAGAAAATTTATTGTAGAAATTAATAATGAAAGCTCGGAAGAAAAGAATATAGCTGCGGGAGTACCACAAGGATCTATCCTTGGACCAGTATTGTTTTTATATTATATCAATGACATTCCAAAAAGTAACAATGTTAAAATTGCGTTATTTGCTGATGATACAGCTGTTTATACTGCGTCTAGGAGAAAAAGAATAGCTTTAAAGAGACTCCAAAACTATGTCTTCGAATTAGAAAAATATTTTGCGAGATGGAAAATTAAAATTAATACTAACAAGACTGAACTTGTAATTTTTTCACATAATGACGGTGATGATAAATTTATAAATCCAACAATGTACGACGAAGAAATAATACCGACAAAACAAGCAAAATATTTAGGCGCAATTTTAGATTCTAAGTTATCTTATACAAAACATGTAAACTCAATAAGATCTAAAGTCTTTATGACACTAAATAATTTATATCATATTATGAATCATAAAAGTAAAATGAGCCAACATAATAAATTAATGACATATAAAATCATAATCAGACCAATAGCTTTGTACGTCGCTCCCATATGGGGTAATACTTGTATCAGTAATATCAAAAAAATTCAAAAAATTCAAAATAAATGCCTTAGAATGTCCTTAAATGCCAAACTAAGCACTAATATAAAAATTTTACATGATACTCTTAAAGTGCCTATGATCAAAGATCAAATATATAACTTAACAAAAAGCTTTTTTGAAAATCAAATAAATAAATTAGATATTTTAAAAGATGTTGGTAAACTTAAATATACCGAAGCACCTTTTAAAATAAAGTATAAGCTTATACAGCATTTATTACAATAATCACAATTTTAAAATATGGCCTAGTAAATTTTTAGTATATAAGTTGTTATTGTTGTAAATAGTTTATAGTTTATAGTTTTTAGTTTAAGGTTATTTATTACTTTTCTAATTAATCAGGTTTTTATTAAAAATTTTTACTGATAAAAAATTTTATAATATATGATATGTTAGCATCCTTTAAAATTTATAATAAAATATTATTAGAATAAGACTACTAAAGGCAGATATTGTAAAGATAGAGTCCTTGTATATTTTAAGACATTAACTGTATTATGTATAAATGTTATTTTATTTGATAATAAAGATATTTTCAAGTCAAAAGTCGTAACCTTGAAAAAAAGGTATTTCAGTGTACTTTTCATTTTATTATAATTATACTTATTTGTTTTGAAAAGTTTTTAAAAGAAGTATTTACTTTTTTGTATTTTATTTATTGTGAAACGTCTGCTATCGCTGCGTGCGACGTTCGGAAGTTGTCACTCTCGTTATTGAACAGAAGCTCATTACACTAGCGTAGTAAAAAACATGTGTGAAAAGTGAGATTTTTTCATTCTTCAAAAATGTTTTTTATGATTTTTTACTGCAAAATAGGTTTTTTACTACGCTAGTGTAATGAGCTTCTGCTCAATAACGAGAGCGACAACTTCCGAACGTTGCAATCCTTGATACATTCTTTATAATCGTAATTTTCTTCATAATTGTTAAAAATATTTTCTTCAAAAATCATAAACAAATACAAATTGTTTTTATTAAATAATTAAAACTTCAATATATTAAACAAAATCACTATTTAACACATGATTTTGATTTAATATTATTTTTTCTATGTGCATATAACTAGATCTTTCAAAATTGATTGAAATTAATTTTTCTAATATTTTTGGAACCATTTTTTAATTTGAGGTTATGTTACAATCACCATAGAACACTTCGACGTGATAAAAAGCGAGGATTAGAAAATTCAAAAAAAGCTTTTTTCTCGAAAACAAAAAATAATATTATTGTAAAATTTACGGTATTGCTTCATTATATAATATTCAAAAAATTTTTTTTCGATATTGAAAAAAGGAGATATATTAAAAATTCCAAATTAATATTTTGTACATACATATATACTTATTTAGCACCATAATCACTATTGATTACTAAAAGGACATCGAATTTCGTTTTCAAGTGAAATGGTTCTGTTACATTTTTTGTATAAAAAACTATTTTTAGTTTGAGGTTATGTTTGGTACTTACTGTACTTACTTGAAAAACAAAAAATTAAAAATAAAGAAAATCAGATGAATAAGTAAAAATTGTTATTGTTATTGTGTGTTGTTTTATAGAAAAATCGGAAAAATCAAAACAATTCCCTGAATACGTCACATTATATATATATAGTGAAATTTCGACTTTCTCAAATATCTCATGTATACAGAAGATACAATCTCATTCTTGCAAATACACTCAGAATAGACTTATGCACCTGTAGTTTCATTACAATGCAGTCATACGCAACGGCTACGCAATAAAAATAGAGAGCAGTAGTTCAATTTACACGCTGTAAATATTCAAAGTAAACAAAACGTATGAGAAAAAATATATTATACTTATACAAAGCTCATAAAAGTATTTTTCAATTTACAATCGACAATTCTTTATTTCATTCAACGAAATTCCATTTCCTATATATTTATTATTTAACCAGTTTTCACTTTTACTAATTACGACAACTATTTGCTTAATTTTAATGATTATTTCATTGCAAATCTCCAATTATGGTTTTAATCAGGAAACAAGATTTAGACTCAAAAAAGAAATGTCGAATAATATAATTAACTATCAATCAAATTCAAGGAGAAATTATAATTTATTGAATGAAAATTATTATATTATTTCAAATCAATATTTTAAAAAAATCTATATATTCAAAAATATCAGAATTTATATTTAAAAAAAAAAATGAATAAATTACCAAATACAAAATCGCAAAAGGAAGAAAAAAAAATTCTAAATATGCCACTGACAAAAAAAAATGTAAATTTATTTATTAAATCAGTTTTTATTTTCATCAATTACGTCAGCTGTTGCTTAACTTTAATGATTATTTGATTGCAAGTATTATATATATTATGATTTAATTATCAATAAATAAAAGTCATGTTTGAGGAAAAATTATTTTTAAAAATTCATAAAGAAGAAATTATTTGAAAACATTTTCTAAATAGAATATTTATTTTTCTTTCACATGAAAAGTAATTTTACAAAAAATGTTAACTATTTTATCATTTTAAAATACAAATAATAATAATTAATTTTTTTTTATTAATATTAGGTCTTTTCATTATAAAATTATTTAAAAAACGGTTTTAACAAAAAGCAAATACTATTATTTATAAATCTTTAAAAATGAAATATAAAGATTACCCAAAAGTATGCAACAGAAATCGGAACTAAATATTCACTTTCAAAAATAAAGGCGCCAAATTGGGAGAAAAAAATTATTTAAATAAACGACTTTCATACAAAAGATTAAATAAACAATAACTTGTAAAAAAAATACAAAAGGCTTTATGAGATTATTTATATTCATAACGTGAAAGTGTTTATTCTGAAAGACTTTCGCTGTTGTGCTAAAAAATACGACTTTGCTTTATATATTCCGTCTTTTCAAACGAAGACTAAAAAGAACTTGCATTACGAAAATCTCGTGACATGAAGTCATAAAAGTGTCTATTTAACAAAAAAAAAAAAAAAAAAGAAAGAAAAAGAAGAATGTGAAAAACATCTAAAAACGTAAATTATAAATATATGCCTTTAATTAAATGCGACAAATTAATATATATCATATCGTCCTAGCCTAACATTATAATATATGGGTATATCAAAGATCCTTTGTGCAAAATATCGAAAGACCTTGTCCTCTTAACACTATCAATCCATTGTATTCTATTCTTTTTATCAACATCTAGATACACTCTTGAAAATATAATACGAGAGTCTTCGCACCTCTCTTATGAAAGACCATTGACGTAATCAAACTCTCATTTTCTTTCAAAGCCCTACAACAATTCTGATCAAAAAAAAAAAAAAACTAAATTTTTTTTTTATCGAGTCATCGTTATAATTATCTTGTCATTATTAATTATTTCATTATTATTATATCAATTTAGTTTTCAAAACTTTTTTCTTATGTAATTAACTTTTTATTAAATTTTAATTAAATAATTAATTATTATAATTAATAAGATATATTAATTATTATATTAAGAAAATTATTTTTTGTTACCGAGAAGTATACGACAAAAAAATTGACTTGTCTCGTTTGATAATAAATAAATAAAAAAAACTAATTATTAATTCAAATTTTACAGAATAAGTGGAATCCAAATTTTGTAAATTTTCTTTCAAGCATTTTTGATTCAAATTCAATGTTGTCAATAAAAAAAAAAAGTAAAATTAGTATTTCAATTTCAATATTATCAAATAGAAAAAAATAATAAATGAACAAAAATAAATATAAAGAGATAAATAATCAAAAAGTTATTTTTTTTATATTAAAATCATTGATATTTGATCAATTAACTTTCTATAATAACTAATAATATAATTAATAATGGTAAGATTCTCTTTCATTATTGATAATCTTCAATTAATTTTGTAATTTGATTATCTCTCAATTTCTATATTAATTAGCGTGGTACAATTATTATTATCTTCAACAAAATCCCCAAGGAACTTGATATTTAAAAAAAAAAAAAAAAAGTGGAATATTCTGAAATGAACGACTGACACGATTTGCAGGAAATTTTCCTAGTCGTGAAATCAGGAAACTACGTCAGAGGACAATTAAAGCATTCATATAATCTAATCTAGATTATTTCCAGTTTGCGTGTGACATTTTCAAATAATAATTATTTTCCAACGAGAGAAAATCGACTTTAAGTTTTTTTTTTACATTTCAATTCGCACATTATTTACATAATTTTAAAAATTAGTTATTAATTACATTGAAAAAAAACTGAAAATCACAATAAATTATAATTGAATATATGTATATTTAATTATTTAATTATATTAATTAAAATTTTAATATTTTTAATTAAATTTATAATTCCAATAATAATTCAATATTAAAGCAATTAAAAATACTTTGAAAATATTAAAAATAAAAAAGTAAAATAAAAAAAAAAATCGATATAAAAATTGTAAAATTGTAAAAACATATTTCAAAAATAATAATTATCAAAAATAATTTATTCGTTAATTTTTGTAAATTGAATTTTAAAAAAAGAATTACTTTTCTCATATTCGATGGAGTTGTTATGATGTGTTTCGAAATTGATAAAAAAAAATTATCAGTTTCCTCTCTCGTCCCACAGATTAATGACAGTAATAGATCATAAAAGTTTTTTTTTTCATTAATTGAAAAGAACAATAATATTCTCCGTGAAAGCAGACGAGAAAAAAAAATCATTTCAACTCACGATTGAAAATAATCGAGATTTTCAATCTTAATTTTTCATAAATATAAAAATTTTATTTCTTTCTTACTCACCTCTTTTTGAAAATTTATCGTCTTCCACCTTTTTTATGACCACCCTTCTTGCCTTTTCCCTTTTTCCTGCCATTTCTATTTTGTTTTCTCTCGAGTAGTTTACGAGCCTTCAAAATTTGTTCTGGTCTCTTCAGTTCACCTCTGCCCTTGACCTTATCCTTCATTTTCTGATTATGCCGAGCCCAATGTGTATTTGCTCCGGTTTTCACTGCAATAATTAAATTAGTTATTAATTTTACTCATCAAATCGTTTATAATTGAATTGAAAATTTAATTTCAAATTCTATAAATTCTCATTTTTATTTTATTATTATTATTATTAATTTTTAAATTAATTCTTACATAACAGAATGTTTAAAATTATAATTTTTAATTCTAAAAAATAAATAAAAATATTAATAGAAATAAATTAAATTGAAAATAAATAATTAAATTGAGAACAAATCATTTGGCTTAGCAATTTATTTTGATTTTCTTAAAATAATAGAGTATAAAATTGGAAAAAATGTATGATTCAATTTTACAAAAAATCAATAAAACTCCATTCATTATTTTTCAAGTAAAAGAAGAAATGGGGGATTTCTTAATTATTATCCCTATTATAAATCGCGATACATAAATCAGTATTTTTACAATCAATATTTACAGACTAATTGAGATTTCTGATAAGTGATACAATTTACAGCATGTACGATAAGAACTTTTGAAAGTGTTATAAACTTTCTCAATATTTTACTATATTTAATTTTTCATTTTAAAGCCGTATATATATATATTTTTTTTTAAATGAAAAACAATCATTAAAAACTCTAAAAGTTGTTGTAAATATTCCAAATGAAAATTGAAATCAATTACAGTTTTTAGAGTTAAATATAAAAATTTTTAAAAAAATATATAAATAAAAAAAAAATTAAAAATCAATACTTTTCTGAAAGAAAAATTTTATTAGTCGAAAAATATTTTATTTATTTTGTATATATTGAGAAAAAGAGGAGAGCAAATTTTTGAGTTCCTATATACAAATATCGTCAATATTTTCAAGGTCCATTTTCTTTCAATAACATCGCGTGTGAATTCAATTTTAGTTGCAATAAAGATATTGAATTTTTCAAAATGTTGCATTATCATTACAATGACATTTCGAAATGAATTTAACAACTATATTAATGATAAGAGTATAAAGATAAAATATAAACAAAAATAGAATTTAAAAAAAAAAAAAAATTTTTTTTGTTTCCAATTTTTTCCGGTGAAATCTTGTTTTTTGTCTTGTAAACATTACCGACAATATAAAAAGATTTTAGATCTTTATTACAAATTTAAATTTCTTCTGAACTAATTAATATTTTAAAATCAGACTTAAATTAATTTTGACGAAGTAAAATTAAAAAAAAAAAAAAATAAAACATAATTAAAACTGTAATTAAATTCCATAAACATTTTTCAATGAAAAAAAATTGAAGCATTTCAACTTTAAAATAAAGGGTTTCATTTAAATATTTTCCCATATATATAAATACTGAAAGGGAATCAATTAAAAGCGCCGCTCAGTGAACAATAATTAAGAATACCGCGATGCAATTAACTTGGAAATTGTCTATCGAAATGAAATGAAAAGAAGAAAATGTAAGAAAACAGTTTTAAAAGAAATCCATAAATACTTCCTTGAATCTTTTCTCATTCTCATTCTTATCTTTTTCAACTCTACATCCTTGGAATTACCAGCTCGCTTTTTTATTACCTAAGTAGTTGTTGACTCCTTTTATAAATTGTTCGCCAATAAAAGAAGATTCCCATGTGAAAGGAATTCCGGAAATTTTCCAGAAGGGACGTTTTTGAAAAATTTTCAATTGCTTTCGGAAATTCTTTGGAATTGACAGCTTTTGTCTGTTATTTATGGTTAAATTTTTCGAGGAATTCGAATTCATTGTTATTTTGAAAATTCAAAGTGATTTTTGAGGAATATTTTTTAAAGAAATTTAAAAATCTTTAAAATCTGAATAAACTGATAGCTCAGGAATTTCTAAATATTGTGGTCTGAGTCACAGTTAGACAACTCACAGAGAAATCAGTTAGTGTTACTAGACGTTGTTTATAAAAAGTAGGACAAATAACTTCTAAAAGAGGACAATGAAAATAAATTTTATTTTAAAAAAAGATTAAGGAAGCAGATTATTATAAATTTGAATTTTAAAAAAATATTAATGTTCATAATTAACATTATTAAAATAGTCTTATTAATCCCAAACATTAATTTTACACTTTTAAACACAAGTTGTTTAAAAAATTTCAATTGCATCATTATATAAAGGAGAATAAATACTCTGCAGCATTGCTGTAAACAACAAATTATAATAATGCTATAACATTTAATTTTTATGGTAAAAAATAACAAACAATCAATGGCAAATTATATTGTACAATTTATGATGCTTTTAAGATTTAAAAAAATCTAAATTCTTAATTTTTAAACTCTTTAGATGTCACAGTAAATGAAAATGAATACAAGGTTCCACAAATCACAAACTCGGCTGGGGTTGTGTTTGCTACGTGTTAAAATAAAAAAAATTTAAATTAGTAATTAGAGTATTCGATACATTATGTATATTTTCTTTTTATTAATCAAATTTACCGTTTTAAACATCCTTTTTATATTAATTTAACGATAGTTACATAAATAATTATTAACTCTATATAATAGTAAATATTTGCAAGTAAAAATTCAGATAAAACAATATATCACTAATTAATATAAAAATTACAAATGAATATTATACTGGAAATAATATTAAAATTTCAAATTAAATTGTTAACGTTTCATAAATAAATTTCTTATATATTTTAACATGCGTGATTATTTTTTTTTTTTAATTCAGTCATTTTTTTACGGAGACTCTCCTTCACCTGGACATCATCATGCACTTTCCAATTTGATTTCTTTGCCGTGACACGGGCAAAAGCTGTAAAAGGAAATATGGTTTCGGATTTATTCACTTTTTTTTATTAAATAATTAAGTTAATATCGATTATTCAAACAGTTCTCAAATTTAGATTGAATTAGTTGAGTGCCCTACTGAAAATCCTCGTACAAGACGTACAAGATCATGTTCTTACGTATGATCTGGTACCAGATATTTTACAAGAATTATTAGAAAGTTGATAAACGATGTTATTTTTATATATGAAATAATTCATTTTTTAATAGTTTCATTTTAATTACAGTCAACTCTCGATAAAACAAACTCAAAGGAAGATCAAAAATATTTTGAGTTATCGAAAAATTTGAGTTATGAAATATTGAAATTACCTATAAAGAATGGTTAAGACCCAAGAATTACTTTGAGTTACCAAAAAATTTGAGTAATTGCGCTTTGTGTTATTGAGAGTTTACTGTATTATTATATTATGTTATTAAATTAATAATTTTAGTTTTACTCAAAATGGTATCAACTACAGTCTTTGGAAGAGCTGGTAGGCTGTTCGATTTATGACCTTTTCCACTCAAACTGTGCTCTACCAGAGCTTTTTCTTTAAATACCGCAAGTAGAAGAGATCGTGCCAATGATGTATGAGTATTTCCCCGATTAGATTTGATTGCTTTTAAAGTTGCCTTGTCGACGTAAACTTCACTTCCCTGAATTAATTCAACTGTCTAAAATTAAAATTTTTAATATATTCTTGGTTATATAATTTTTTATAAATAAAAATAATTTATCAGAAAACTCATAAATATGGATGTAGAACTAGTGGTCAAACATAATAGCTTCCAATAGTGAAACTTTTGGATAATATAGTAAATTTATTCATTGAGTTATAAAAATAATGTGACACATAGGTCTTTAATTTTTTCTAATCTTATTTTCAAATTAAAATTTTGACCATTATTTTTAAAAATTAGAAATAGTTTTGATTTTTTTTAAATTGACAATTTTTGGAATTCTGTATTTAAATATCGCTTTAAATGTGTACAATACAGAACTTCTAGAATATATGTGAAATTTGCAAAAACATGTAAATATTAGCACAATTATAAATACACTGTTTTCCGGGAAATATCAGAGAATATTTCTGAATCTCAGAAAATTTTTTAAATACATCAGGGTGACCGCAAGTCAAGAAGTAACGAGAAATCAGATAAATGTCAATAAAGAAAGAATAAAACAAAAATTAAAAAATTTTTTGAGTGAATTAAAATATCCTTAATTAAATATTGAAATTTTAACCCAGTTGATATTATAGGAGAATTTCAGACGAATCGGTTAAGAACTATGGGCTCCAGGTGTGAGAAAATATTTAAAATTCATAAATTTTTGTGATTTTTCAGCCTAATTTTCTTTATTTATTAAAAACATTTAAAAAATTTTAACAGAAGTTATTTTTTTGATATTTTTTACTTGACAAAAGAAGTTTAAATGAAATAGATAAAGAACTTTTTGAGATACCCAATTTTGAATAAAATGTGAGTTAACAACATTCAATATTAAATTATACTCTCTAAATTTGAATCAGTGAAATGTCACTGATAAAATAGGTAGAATTTAGCGACTGAAGCAATCAGTGAGTTTTTCACTGAAATTCAGTCATATCTCACTGAAAATCAGTGAGATTTATCTGCTTTATCATTGAACGGTAAAGCAGATTTGACTGTTTCAATCAGTAGAATTTACTGATTTTCAGTGAAATATAACTGAATTTCAGTGAAAAAATCACTGATTGCTTCAGTCGCTAAATTCTAGCTATTTCATCAGTGAAATTTCACTGATTCAAATTAAGAGAGTAGAAAGTTTAGTAGCAATATGTTACAAATTGAAAAATTTCAGTTTCCGATTTTTTGAAATCTATTTTATTATTTATTATTTTCAAATGTATTTTGTAAACCTAACTTGAGTTAATATCTCACATATTGGAATGTTTCATTTAAATTGGTTATTCCGCTTATGTGTGAAGGGCATACTAAGTTTTGTGACAGATATATAGGTACAAGGAAATTTTACTGGCAATTTTGGAGTCCTTTATGTTTTAATGACTATTTCTGTAGAAAATATTGAAAATTTGAGCAATGACCTGACAAGAAGTCTGATTTTATTTATCTAAATAAAATAAACTTACATCACCGTTTTTTGAAGTTTGAAATATTTCATTATTGGTTGGTCCAGTTTGAAGTCTCTCTCCCTCCTCGTTTTCCACAGTGTTCAAATTGCTGTTGTCATCTTGGTTCGCTGCTGTTTCTTCTTCGTTCACGGTCTGTTCCGAATAAGTGAAACGAAAAGGTTCTCCTATCACTTCTACCGGCTGTGTGTCTAGTGTTGATCGCATTGGTGAATCATCAAGAAGAAATTCCAGGTTTGGATTTAGCAGGATAGTAGCCATCGATTCCAAGTTTGGAACTCCAGTTTCTGGAAGGTCTATTTCATAAATTTGTGCATTAATCCTTTTTTCTTCATTATTACCTTCTGGCTCAACGGCAGTATGTTCAATAGCTTCTGTCCATTGACTTGGATGTTCCAAGATCTAAACCAATTTAATATTTTTTAAATTCTTTACTTTGAATTTAACGTATTTTTAAAATGGAATATGCAAACTTTAAACTTTGTTCAAATTAAAAATTTTTTAACTTATAAATTTATTTATTACCCATAAGTAATGAGAAACATTTCTAAAAAGATTTGCTGTTGTATTGATGACTTTATTTATAAAAATAACTTGTTCATTCAAAACAATACGTTTTTTTTTAATTTTTAAATCAAAATGTTTTATTTATACTTTTATTTTCTCACCTTCAAGTATAGTGTGGAAAGTGAAATAGTAAAAAGTCCTAGTAGTTAGAAACTCTTTAGTTTAAAAAATAAGAAAGATAAAAAAAGTATTCTTTAAAAATATATTATTATTGAATAAGAAGTTTTATTAGGCTCACTCTAAAACTTATGCTAAATATTTTAATTGCTTTTAAGTAAGAAACAAAGCTAACAAATAAAAAATACACAAATGAAAAAATGAATTTGTAAATTAATATAATAATATTATTCTTCTTAAATAAAAAGCTAAAAAAATTTGTTTAAACATGTAACATTCAAAGGAAAACAGAAGTTTTTTTTACGTAAAATTTTTCAAAATAAAATACTTTAAAATTATAAATTATTGAAAATGTCTAAACTTTTAAAAAGTGTATATTTTGAAAATTTGAACATATCTATAAAAAAAATAAAAACACGTACACCTTTTTTCTCTACGGAACAAACAAAATGTTTAGCCAAAATACGAATTACATTAAAAATAAAAGAAATTCTATCATAAATTATTTACTAACGTCTTTTAATTCCAACAACTTGTTTTTTAACGCATCATTGGTAACTAGAACCTCATCTACTTTTTTCAACAAAACTCCTGAGGCAGAAATAGAAAACAGCTGCTTCTGTATAATAATGATTAAGAGAGGTTAAAAAGTTATAGTCTTCGCAAAGTAAATTATTTATATTTATAATAAATAATCATTGTGACACGACTGACAAACATATAAATTTCAATTTGCTTTAACAAAAAAGTTTTTGTAATCAAATTATTAAAAGAAGTTTATTTTAGGAGGAAAGAAAGTGATTTTACGTTGAAAAATAATTAATTATTAATTGTAAATGTAGTTTTAGAAATTTCGACCCTATAATCTCTAAATTAATTGTTAAGAATAAGAAAACTTGATTATAATTGTTTGTTTAATTGTATTAGTGAAATATTTTCTATACGTGACTGACATAATTGTATCATACTTTTATTAAAAAATTTTATATTAAAACAAAATAAAAATAATTTTAAAGACACTCACTAACAATTTTAATGACTTGTTTTTTTATTTTTATTTTATTAATATATGTGCCTAACCTTCCTTGAAGATTCATCACCTGCTGTTTCATTCTTCTCATTTGATCTTTTCTTGCTTCTTCTTGCAGCATTTTTTTTTTCGGCTCGTATTTTTGCCAATTCGTTTTCATCAGCTTATTGAAAAATAAAAGAATCAGTATATTAATATTTTTTTAAGGCAAATTATTTTATATTTAAAAAATTTTTAATAACACATTACAGATAATTAATAAAGAAAATATAGTTTATATACTCACATGAGATTGCTATTATGGTACCAGTAAAACATTTTTTTTGAGCACTGTCTTCTGGCCATAAGTATTCAATTGATGATCCAACCTTTAAATTCGGCGTTTTTGAATTGAATTTTATTGAACTTTTATAAAGAATTGTGTAGCAGCCATCCCCTTCAATTAAAACTTGTTCTTCACTCATGTTTTTAGAAAAATTTGATTACTTTTGAAATATAACTCGAATGAATAAATTTTAATGTTTTATGTTGTCATAACAACGAGTATACAATGAGATAAAAATTAAACTTTTGTTTTATTTATTTATAATCTTTTGCTTTACAATTTAAATTCTAGATTAACCTTTATTTTTAAATTAAATTTTATTTTTTATTTATTAAAATTATAATTTTTATTAAGAATGATGTAAACGGCCCTACTACAAATCCTCAACCTTTTGAAAATCCTCGTACATGATTTGGTACAAGTTTATGCGTAAAAATATGAACAAAAAAAGGAGACATACATACTTATACACGTACCCAAATTTTTGAATTTTGAATAAAGAACATGAACAAGTTAATGCAGAAGCAAGTGGCGAGTTTTTTTGATGAATTAAAGTTCCCGGTAATTTCCTGTTAAATTTTTTTGATTTTTTCTAAAAAAGTGATATTACAATACTTTCTGTAAAAAATGGTTAATTGATGATGTTGCCTATAAGTAAAAACACATTACATAAGGTTAATTTAAAAAATTTTATTCAAATTACATGATTACTATTTTATACGCTTAAAATTTATATGAAAGCTTAAAATTCAAAATCGTTCACAGCTTTTTAAATCGTGTAATTTAATTTTTTATCAATGATTATTATTGAATAATTCTTAAGAAAAAGGTTATTTTTTCTCTTAAAATTAAAGAAGAGCAAGCATAAAGACGAAAGAGATTTTGTGCGCAAATGTTTATTATGTATAAATATTTTAAATAAAAATCAGTGAACAGAAGATATTCGTCGGCCCTATTCGGACTTTCCAGGTCTTTCCAGGTCCTAAATATAGAATATTAACAATTTAAAACTCTTTGGGTGTGTTTAACAAGGAATATAATAAAAATAAAATAAATACCTTTCTAATACTTAACAGAGTTTCATTTGTGTGTCTGTTTAATCCCAACGCATTAGACATTTTGTTCATAACTTTTTCTTTTTCCTTCTTTTGGATGTTTAGATCCTTTTGAAGTTCAAATGCCATCTCAACATTCCCCGCCCTTGCCCTCCTTTTAAATTTTATTCTTTCCTTTTCGTATTCTAAGTTTTCTTGTTCTAACACTTCTTCTTTTGTAATTTTCTTCTTTTCAATTTCAGTCATTCTCCTTTTCATTTCTTTTTCTAAAAATTTATTCGAATCTGAAAAAAAATATATATATATTTCTTAACTATGTAGGTATTTTATCTTAAATACTGTAAAAATTTTAATAAAAAAGTAAATTCAGTACTACAAAATTTAGAAGTGCCAAAACATTAGTTTTGAGAAAAAAGAGTTTAAAGTTTAAGTTTATCCTTGGCTCCTTTTATAATAAAAATTTAAAAAAAAATTTTCAAATGTTTCTAATGGGGAAAAAATTATGACAGAGGCATGAATCAACGTATGACACTCCGTAATTTGTTTTTAGTCAATAAAAAAAAACGAAAATTTGAACTATTTTTAGAAAAACGCGATTATCTCGGAACCTAGACCGGACAAAGAGGGAAATTTTCATGCTGACATCTACATATATATTTTATTCAATATTTTGCATATAATGAAGATTTAAACATAAATATAGATTGTACTGTCTTTGTTTATTTTAACACCAAATCGCAAATGTAAAATAATAGATTTATGAAACTCATTCGTGAACATAATGTGAAGAATCAAGATGATTCGTACAAAATAGGGATCTAATTAGTTAACTTTTTAATTGAGTCCGCGTGACGAGATATTATTTGATGATTTTTTCAAAAAGCATATAAAATTTTAGAAAATTAACTTTTTATTTATATTTTTTACTTTTATTAAGCTCAATTTTTGAAAAAAACGGTTTTCAAAAAATTGAAATTAAAAAATTGGATTTAGTAAACAATAAAAAACATATAATACCTATATATTATGTATACTTGCCTGATTCCATTATAATTTTTCCTTTTCGAATTTTTATTTCTCCCTTTTTGTCAGGGAATTCAAATTGCATTAAAGCTCCCAGCTTAATTTCGGAATCGTCAGTGATTAATAACGCCTTTTTATCAATAATATAAAACCATCCGTCCTCAGTAAAAGCATCTACTAAAAATTTTCGTTCTTGATCTTCATCGTTTGACATTTCTTTAAAAATAACCAATTAAAAAACCAATAAAAATAATCATAACCAAGTCGGATAAAAATGAGTAGAGATAAAGCCTTCCTCCAATAGGAACCTAAACTTTTGCGTTGCGTGACTGACGCGTTGATTTTAGCATTGGACGTGTACCTAATGAGAGAGAGGGGTATAGATGTATATCTCCGTACCCCTCTCTCTCATTAGGTACACGTCCGACGCGCTTATTGTAGACGCTGCTTAAATCAAATGGGAGTGCGTCACGTCAGCGTCGCGTTTTAGCTCATTGTGGAACACGCCTTAGGAGCTAATTGAAGAAAGGCCTTAACGCAGTCGCATTCTACTTTCAGTAGGATATTTCCACCCTTTATAACTTGTTTACTCTATGATCGTTGTCGATGGGCTTCGGACAAAGCAGACGACACAAAATGACTGTCAAAATAGTGAACATCTTCAAACTTTTAATAAACACCTGTAAACTTATAAGAAAATTAATGTAGACCTTTTAAGATGACATAATGGATTTTTAACTAAACAATGGTTTAAAAATTGATTAACAATAGACTAACAAAAATCAATTTTGATGTATTACACTAAAAACGCATCGACTCCTTTGACACGAAAATTAATGGATTTTAAATTGTAGTGGTAAGAGTTCTTAAATATTGTAAGAAAATTCTTTTCTGTTGTACTGTAACTGTAACTGCAAGTTATAGTAGATTTTAATGTAACTAAAATATGTTATTTTTTATGAAAAATATTTATACAATATTCATTTATTATTTATTTTTTTATTTATTTTTTATAATTTTTTATTTATTTCGTATTTCTTTATTTTTTATAAATATAAAAATTAATTTTAACGAAATTATTCACAATTGCACTTTAAATGGAAAGATTTGAAAAATCCAATTAATAAGAATTGTTTCGTTTGTAATTTTTTTTCTAGTTATTATAATCCAATTTTATTTTTTAGATCTTTTAAGTGGCCTTCTCTTTTTTAAATTACCATTTAAAATTTCCGAGAAGCTTGAAAATGAACAAAATTAAGGATGATTTCCTAAAATAAAGGTAATTTTCTCACAAACCCTACTTTTTTTCACTTCAACTTTTAACATAAATTCTTATCAATATGAGGAATAATTCCTATATGAGATCCAACCTTGCTAAACCATTCTTTCAGATAAAAGAATTTTTTTGAAATTTTAATTCTATGACGCATTTTGGTGATTATTTAATCTTAAATAAAATCTCCAGAGAATGTCTCTAAGAAATTATATTTGTAAAAAAACTTTTTCTAAATTTTTAGAACGCAATAAAAAATAAAATTCTTGATATAGATTTGTTTCAAAGTGATATTTATAAAATTGTAATGTTTATATATAGAAAAAATAAATAGCTAGTCATATATATTTTTTTAAATTGTAGATCTCACAGGGGGACATAAAATAGATCTATTTTATTTTCTATTTATTAAGATTTATCCAGTACAAATATCTGCTTTTTGTGTTCTTCATTTCTCCAAAAAGCGTATTTTGTTCATAACCCCAAATAAAGGTTATGATATTTACAAATATTTTTCTTCTATTTTCTACTGGTTTTTACGATGCGTTTTTCGACTTATTTTAGAATCATTTTTCTCGAGTTATTAATCTTTCAAATGTCAAAATTTTTTTTATTTTTTATTTTTCTGAAACATATTGGTTTAAAAATCTTTGCAAAGGTTTTAAATTACGATAATTTCGACGATAAATTTTTTTTCTTTTATTGAGTACATTTAAATTTGTTTTTAATGAAAATTAGGAATTACAAAATAATTTCATTTTATACTTATAAAGGATCTGTTAAATTTTGTTGAAAATTTATTTTATATTTGGGAATTGTAATTATTCTTTATGTAATTTTAAACTTTTTCAAGTACTACTTTTCAAGTAGTTCCAATTAGCATAATAATTTTTTTAAAAAGATATAACTGTTTCAAAACAAACTTATTTCATTTGATTCGTTAAGTAAAATGAGATACTTATTTTTAGGAAATCATCCCTTATTTTCTAAATCTTAGTTTGCCTGTATAATCTAAGGTAGATAATTTTTCAGGAAGGTTGTCACGCCCGTTCCAATATATTTTGCTGGACGCTATAATTTTACTACAGGCGTTAATTTACATTATCAGAAATAACTAAATGTAGCCTTTAAATAATATATAACTATTTTTTATTTCAATTATTTTTTATATAATAATTATCCAGAGTATAAAGAATTTAATATTTTTGATAACTCATTTATGTGATAAATTTAAACATAAAGCGTATCTGGAAATTATCAATTGAAAATATAAACGATCTATAGAATTTATTAATCCTCTTGAAACAGATCAATTTAAGTAAAAAAGCAAATGTCAAGTTAATGTTTCGACATCCGAGTCAGTCTAGCTGGATGTCGAAAATTCGAGTTAAGGTGCCTGAAAATCTAACAAAATTTGATTCGATTTGAAAATTGCACAGTTCTACTATACAATCGTATTATTTACAGAATTCCTATTCGGTAGTCCAAAAATCCAAAAAATGGAAAATGAATTTGACGTGCTCTCTTCAGAAAATTCAGAAATAGACATTGCAGATACTGCCTCATCAAGTTCGAATGAAATGAGAAATGAACATGACATGCTCTCTTCAGAAGATTCAGAAATTAATGTTGCAGATGTTTCCTCATTAAGTTCAAATGAAATAGTTGAAAATGAAGATTATCAACTTGAAGACGATCAATTTGTGGATGATCAATTTGAAAACAATCAGCTTGAAGATGATTATACACAAGACTCTTCTGAAATGGAAATAGATAACGTGGTATTAGGTGATGCATCAAGTTCAAACGAATCTGATGTTTTCATGTCTCCCCTTTTCGAATCATCCTCGTCATCATCATCATTATTATTCGTAACAAATGACAATGACAATAATAATACTGAAGAAAATAGAGCAAACTGGCTTGATAATCCAATTTATGCAGAAGCAACAATCAATGGGGGCAATGCATTATATCAAATATTAAAGACATACATCACAAATCGTTTGAGTAAAAAAGCTTTAAGCGATATTTTGTCTACAATTGATTTATTGCTACCCAATGATCATACTATCCCTCGATCAAAATTTAAATTATTATCTTTAATCGATCAGGTATTACCAAGCTCTCAATCAGATTTCGCGACGAAGCACAGGATTTGTTCCAAATGCTTTTATTACTTGGGAAAATGGTCCGATGATCCATTAGAAAGATGTACTCGTTGTGATAATACAAAAGTTAACAGTTTCTTTCTAGAGCTTGACTTAGAATCTCAACTGCGCACTGCTTTTGAAGTAAGAGATGTTTCTACTTTATTGGACAACTATCGAACCGAATGCGCAACCCAAAATCCAGAATATCTGTACGATCTTACATCAGGGACCGAGTTTCGTCGATTGAAAACTGAAGCTATACCTGGAGAATATGATGTCTTTTTACTTTGGTTCACTGATGGACTGCAAGTGTCCAAAAGTGGAAAAAGTAATATATGGCCAGTTTACGCACAAATAGTCAATATAGCTCCAAAGTACAGAAGAAGTTTTCAATTTGTTTGCGGAATCTTCTATACGAATCGATCTTCTAAGAAACCAGATATGAATTCATATTTGCAACCGTTTGTATTGATTTTAAAAAACCTATTTACAAATGGATTTCAATGGTTTAATAGAGTGTTAAATCGTATAATTGTGACTAAAGTTGTTGCCCCTGTTGCGTGTTTAGATGCTCCGGCAAGAGCAGCTGCACAGAACGTACAACAGTATAACGGAGAATATTCGTGTGGATGCTGCGAAGAGAAAGGGGAAAGCTGCGAAACAGGCAGTGGATCAAATTGGATTTTCCCAGTAACCCATGATCATTCTTGTCTACGGACAGCCGCAAGAATGGAGAAACAAACCAAAATTGTAGAAAAGTATAAAGATTTGAAGCACTTTAAAGGTGTCAAAGGTGATGCCATTGTTACCCAAATACCTCATTTCGATAGATCTAAGGGATTCGTTCCTGACTACATGCACGCTGTTCTGCTGGGTGTAATGCTCATGTTATTAACGCTTTGGTGTAGTTCAACTAATCACGAAAGAGAATTTTACCTTCGAAAAGATCAGCGTATTGAAATTGATAAAATTTTAGAAGCAATTTCACCACCTGATGACGTTACACGTACACCAAGACTACTGTCTGATCTAAATTTGTGGAAAGCCTCAGAATTAAGAGCATTTCTCCTCTATTACGGACCAATCGTGTTAAAAAAGCGTCTAAGTAATGAACATTTTAATCATTTTTTGCTACTTTCCCGCGCGATTTATATACTGTTAAAGGATGAAATTAGCCCGACAGAACGTAATTTTGCAAACACTCTTTTACATATTTTTGTAATCGATTTTGAACGTCTATATGGTCGCAACAAATGCTCATATAATGTCCATCAATTAAAGCACATGACATTGTTTGTGAGTTTATGGGGACCACTTTGGGCTTGGTCGGCTTTTTCGTCCGAGGATCACAATGGAGAATTATTACGAATGACACATGGTACAAAAAATGTTGATGTAGAATTATCTAATACCATTAAAATAATACAATGTTATCAGAACATAAAATATTTAATGAATCCGATCAGACAGAATCAACAACCTCAGTGTCGAACCCATGGACCATCTACGAAATATAATATAGAAGAAAGTGATCTTCTAGTAATTCTTCACGTCACGCGCCTTACAAAAGAGCAGTTACATCAGACCAAACCAACTATTTTTAGTAGATGCTTAATCAATAACGAAATTTATACTTCCGAACTGTACACTCGACAAAAAAAACGCTCGAATTTTATTGTCCAGTGGAAAGAAGATGTTGTAGTGTCTTTTGGTGCTGTTAAGTTTTTTTTAATGATCGAGGGAAATCTTTTTGCTGTATTACGTCAGCTCATAATTTCTAACGATAAATCCCAAGAAATTAAAAACACAGAACTTGAATTTGACTTTAATGAAAGTATAAAGCATGTGCGTGATTCGTATTGCACTAATGTTATTCCAATTCAGAGAATATTCACAAAAGTTTTACGTGTACAAGATTACATATGTCTATTTCCAAATAACGTGGAGAAAAAATAGTCATACCAATCATTTTGGTATTTAAAGCTATATTTTTTTAATTAAAATATAAAATATAATTAGCAATTGGACATCTTTCTGCTGTCTTATAATTTATAATTATTATAATAATAGATAATTATTTTAATTACTTGAATATTTTATTCCTTTTACTGATTTCCAATTCACTAAAATTTTTATGTGTTTTAATTGGATTGTAAATATTAGAAGAAGAAATAAAGAATTCGTTATTTCCTATTGTCTGTCACGTTGAGTTATTTACAGAATTTTAGAACAAATTATTTTTACTTCGGTTCAATGATAAATATATATTAAAGATAAATTCTGACAAACGTAGGTTATCTTCTAAGTGAATAAAAATTGACTTCATTTTATAATTGATAAACAAAGTAAGAGATATATTGACTTACCTTAAGAAATAAACCAAGGGAGATCTGGCGATAAAATTGACACTTAAACTCACAAGAAATATATTTTTAGACATTAAAGTTAGTTGAACAATATTGACCCGGAACACAAATTGATATGTAGAAATTCCAAAACTATTATTTTCTTCATATTTCAGATAATTCGACAAGAAATACCTCAAACATTGCTTTGAATTTTTAAAAGAATTATGAAGTTGAATTCCTTAAAAATTTTAACCATAAATATCAAGCAAAAGATGATAATTTCAAAGGATTTCTGAAATGTAAAAATTCCAAAACGATTATTTTCTTCATATTCCATATAATTTGACAAGAAATACCTCAAACATTGCTTTGAATTTTCAAAATAATTATGAATTTAAATTCCTCAAAAAATTTAACCATAAATAACAAGCAAAAGCTGTCAATTCCAAAAAAAATTATTTAGAAAAATTCCGACAATTTTCCGGAAAATTTCCGGAAGTCACTTCCGGAAGATTTCCGGAAACCACTTCCGGAAATTTTCCGGAAATCCTTTCACATGGGTTAGAAACTTATAAAAAAAATATATATGTCGTTTCCTTTCACAAACAAAATAACTTGTTTTCCAACTCAAATGTTTTGATTTACAACTAAAAAAAAAGATTTTTTCCATTTTTATTTTCTTCTTTTTTGAGAATTTTTTCTCTTTCTTTTTCCATTTTTTCCTTTTTTTTGAGAACTAATAATTGAAAAAAATGGTTTAGAAACGACAAAAAATTTTTTGCTTTACGAGTTTTACATACTTATTTTGTCTTTTTTAGGAATTTTTATTTTTCAAAATATTTTGCAAATCTTTTTTTTTTTTTGAGATCTAATTAAATATTGAAAACAATAATTTGAACACAAAAAAAATAAAAGTATCTGTTTGTTCGACTGACAGAAAATATTTTGCACTAAAATTAATAAAAAGCGATTTTTCCATTTTTATTTTCCTTTTTTTTTTTGAGAATTTTTATTTTTTTTAAATTTTGCTCTTTTTATTTTATTTTTTTTTGAGACATAATAATTGAAAAAAATGATTTGGAAACGAAATCTTGACAAATGTGTCTGTTTATCTGTCTGAAAAAAAATGTTTCGCCTTACTAAAAAAAACAATTTTTTCCATTTATTTATTTTTCACAATTTTTGAAAAATTTTAATTGTGTTTTTTTGTAGATCTAATTAAAAAAATAGTTGCACAAAAAAATAATAATAAAAGTGTCTGTTCGTTTATCTCACAGAAAATGTTTTGCTTTAAAATTAATAAAAAGAACAAGTTTTTCCATACTTATTTTTTTTTCTTTTTTGAGAATTTTTATTTTTCACAATTTTTATCAAATTTCCATGTTTTTTTTTTTTTTGAGATCTAATAATTGAAAAAATTGGTTTGTTTGTCTGACAGAAAATATTTTTCACTAAAATTAATAAAATGCGATTTTTCTATTTTTATTTTCCTTTTTTTGAGAATTTTTATTTTTAACAATTTCTGCTCTTTTTATTTATTTTTTTTTTTGAGAGAGAGAGAGAGAGAGAGAGAGAGAGAGAGAGAGAGAGAGAGAGAGAGAGAGAGAGAGAGAGAGAGAGAGAGAGAGAGAGAGAGAGAGAGAGAGAGAGAGAGAGGTCTAATAATTGAAAAAATGGTTTGGAAACGAAATTTTGACAAATGTGTCTGTTTGAAAAAAAATTTTTCGTTTTACAATTAATAAAAAACGATTTTTTCATTTTTATTTTCTTTTCTTTTGAAAATTTTTTTTTATCAAATATTCATGTGTTTTTTGAGATCTAATAATTGGAAAAATTTTAAAAAGTAACCTCAACTGATAAAAAAAAATTCTTAATCCGGAGAACATATTTTTATAAAAAAAAATTTTGTTTTATTTATTCTCTACGATACGAAATTATAAAAGAAAAATCAATATCAAGATGGATATATAAAAAAAAATATTCCAATCGAGAATTATTCAGGAATTTTTGATAAATTTGCCATTAAATTTATTCACTATTCGATGAAACAATAAATTATTGATAATTTCCTCTAAATATATTATTTCCGCGTTAATTTTATTGAATTTATATGAATCTTCGAATATATTTATAAGATAATAAAAGAAAAATGAATAATATTTACATGTAAAGTTGGTAGCACGATATTATGTCATTAGATTGGAATTCAATCCACGAACTTAATAAGAGCATATTTTGTCAAACAATAAGTTTCAGTTACGTGAGTTGTTTTCTGATTGGAATTTTTGCAAATAGGACTGTTGGGAGGGAAAGCCTCTCTGGAATGTCAACTATTTGCGCTTCAGAGGTTGTACCCCACCCGGTTCAATGAATGGGCACATTATATAGTGTGTTCGTACTTTGTAACTGAACAGAGTAACGACGTAGACGTGTGTTACTAGAGGTCATCTCAACATGTGCATCTCTCTATATAGACTACACATATGTCGAGAAGAATGCGGACAAGAAGTTTCGTCCCTTATATTCGATCCGATAAAATGCACTCTCAGTCTCTCTTTCAATCTCTCTCACTCTATATTTATTCATCTCATTTTCAATGAATAAATCATGCACTTTGTATGAATGAAAAATATTTATTGTTTCTTTCATTCCATGATAGAATATTTTACTTTTAAAATCGATAATAAAATATTCAATGAGTTTCTTTTAAAAATTTTAATTTTCAAACAAAATAGACATGATTTTGAATTAAATTAATATTTTAATTAATATATATGTTACGGTTAAAGTGCGAAGTCCGGTGAATGTGCACATTAACCGGTCAATGTGTACATTCACCGGGCATTTTGGTAAAAGTGAGAAATCGGACATTTGGGGAAGATATTATGTACATTTACCAAGTAAATTGGTGATTGTACACATTGACCAGCCTTGGTTGGTAAATGTGAAAATTTGAAATGAGTGATTTGTTAAATAATTTTTTTATGCATATAAAATGTGAAAATGGAATGAATATTATTATTAATAAATTGATAAGATAATATTAAATATAAATTGTATTAAAGGAATAGAATTATAATAAATGAAAATTATAAACAGAAGTAGGAAGACAAATATAAATAGAAGTTCAAATGAGGGGCTGATAGTAAAAATGGTTTAAAATAACATTGGGAGCAAAAGTGGGATAAGTGACTTGGGAGCAAAAACGGGTTAAAATGATTCGTGTAATTTATTGATAAATTCATTATATTATCGATTAAAAAATATTAACAATAGGAAAAAATGCATATTTTATTATAATTAATATCTTTTAATCGATAATATAATGAATTTATCAATAAATTACACGAATCATTTTAACCCGTTTTTGCTCCCAAGTCACTTATCCCACTTTTGCTCCCAATGTTATTTTAAATCATTTTTACTATCAGCCTCTCAAATGTAAATAAATATATTAATTGCAAAAATAAATAAATATATTCTTCCTACATAGCTATATTTAAAGTTAAAATTTTTTAATCCCAAAAAATATATATATTATTCAAAATTCAATATTTTCTAAAATACTTTATACTTTAAAAATAGCAAAAAAATGTCAAATTAAACAAAATTTCATGAAAGTCGCCCCTGCAAAAATAAATAAATATATTTTTCGTACGCAGCAAAATTTATTTTAATCAAAACGATTTGGGTGAATGTGTACATTTACCGGTTAAAGTAGCAAAACATCAATACTATAATATTTATTTTTCACTTTAACCAAAATGATTTGGTGAATGTGTACATTTACCGGTTAAAGTGCACAAAACAAAGAAATTCGTATGCTATTCTCACAATCACCTACCTACTGATGCCCAATTTGGTCAATGTGCACATTGACCGGTTAATGTGCACATTCACCAATTTCGCACTTTAACCGTAACATATATACCAATATATAAATAAATCAAAAATTAATTAAATCAATAATAAATATAAATAACAAAATATATCTAGGTATAATATAAACAGGTGGTAAGTCTCTAAAAAATTATTTTCAAACAGATATATTTTAAATAATAAATAATTCAAATAATTTTAAGAAATGTGTAAAAAAAATGTCGAGTCAGAAATTCCGTAAAAAGATTCATAAAAAAAATTATGTGAAAAATTTTATGACATTTAAAAATTTCATTTGAAAAATTTGATAAAATTATAAAAATATTTGAGAAAAAAAATTTTTTTTCATTCTAAAAAAACTAATATAATTTTTATAAAGCCTTTAAATAAATCTATTTAAAAAAATTCCAAGAATTGATGAAAAAATAAATCTTTAACATCAATTTCCATCTCTTTGGATAGACATGAGATTCAAGTATCGCATATATAAAAGTTTATTTGCGCTGAGAGTAGAACATCAACTGAGTAGATCAATGACCCGCTTCCTGTGTTTAACTTCGGACAGATTGCACTTGGCTCTTCTTAATTTATATTATTGGTGTGTAAGGATAAAAATATACACACTGACTTTGTTCTTGTTAAATAAATTCAGTCAATTAGTAAAACTGTCTACATTGCTAATCAACAGTCAGCAATTTCGGACAATTAAGACTCTTACTTTTTTTTTTCTTTTTAGAACAAGAAGAAAAAAATTATACTCATTCATAAAAGTGCTACGTATGTCCATTTAATTCGTACATACTAATGTAATTAAACATTACAAGCAAATAGTATCTGATTTCTATCACATATTTTATATTTTTTTTCAAATTAAAAAACATGAAAAAAATTTAATAAACTTTTTTTTTAAATTCTAATTTACTTAATATTAAATTAAAATTCAATTAAATTTTTAATTATTTTCCGGGACGCATGAATATTCCCCTTCATTAGACTTGTCGGAATTTTTGTGGTGTCGAATTAAAAATTATTGAATTTAGTAGAATTTTAAAAAAGTAGATTTTATAATGAGACCAATTTTAATATTGAAAAATTTTTATTTAACAAAATTCTGATTTTGTAGAATTTCTATTCAACTTTACTGTGATAAAAAAGAATTTTTATTTATTAGAATTTTTCTTTTGCTGAATTTCTATTTTTCAGAATATTCACTTAAAAGTATTATTTTAACAGTATTTTCCAATTAAAAAAATTTCCATATAACAAAATTCTTATTTAACAAAAGTTTTATTCAAAATATTTCTATATTCTATTTCATCGATACTTTATTTGACCGAAGTTTTGTTAAATAAGAATTTTGTTATATGGAAATTCTGTTAATAAAAATACTTTTAAGTGAATATTCTGAAAAATAGAAATTCAGCAAAAGAACAATTCTGATATATTAGAAAATCTGCTTTATCACAGTAAAGTCGAATAGAAATTCTAAAAAATCAGAATTTTGTTAAATAAAAATTTTTCAATATTAAAATTGGGCTCATTATAAAATCTACTTTTTTAAAATTCTACTAAATTCAATAATTTTTAATTCGATACCACAAAAATTCCGACAAGTCTAATGAAGGAAATATTCATGTATCCCGATTTTCCAATACTATTAATTTTTCTAACAAAATTTTATAAAATTCAATTTATAATTTATAAAAAAAATTTCATTTAAAAATAAAGATGCAGTAATTATAAAATTGTAATACTCACATTTTTGAATTTGAGGTGATTCTTCTTCGTCGTCATTGTCATCATTTAAAGAGCCAATTTTGCTCTTTTCCTTCCATTGTGAGTAACGATTTGTTTTGTACGATGCAGGAATCCAAGCTCCAGATTCCGATCGTATTTTTCCAATTTTGGAATCCTGGATAAATTATTACAAATATTTTTTAAAAAAAGATAAAATTATTTCACATCAATTTTAATAAGATTGAAATCCAAAAACAGAAATGTGTTTTATTAAGTAAATAAATTAGTTTCAAAAAAAAACTTGGAAATTAAAGAGCTAACAATTGTCAAAGTTGAATATTAGAATATAAATTAAAAGAAATATTTACATTATTTATCGTCACCATCTTCTTCTTTTTTCGATCCCATTTCTTTATTTGTGTCTGTAACCTTCTGGATTCTTCACTGTCTCCCGTCAAATCTAATTGCATTCTTTCTGCATCTTTGGCGAATACATTAACAGCCAATCTAAAATTTTTAGTCTTTAATTTAATACCTAAGATCGATAAACTAATAAATTTCAAAAAAAAAAAAAAATTTCATAATAATAAATTGAATTTGAAATAATTAAATTATGAAAATTTCCTCGTAATTCAATCTCATAATAATTATGAATTATTTCCAGTACTTTTTAGTATTAATTTACTAAAATTAACATTCGAATTGACAATATTTATAATTATTAATTTCATTAACTTACCCATCTTCTGTGTGTTTATCGGGAGCACTGTATGGAATATAAAATTCATCGTCTCGCGTCACTTTCTTTTTCTTTTTCGAAGGTTTATAGAGATCGTCTACTTTTCTTTTCTTTGGAGTAATCACTTCATTGAAGGTGTCTTTTATTTCATCGGCACTGCTAGTTGGAAGTGTTGATATTTTAGTGGAATTTCCAACGCCTACAAAAAAAACAAAAAATAATTTTAATAATCGTTAAAACAAAGAGAAAATTTACGAAAGCCGATTAATTTTCAAGAAAATTATTTGAAAATTGAATTTTTACATTTCAATGCGTCGTTTTCTCTTTCTTCTTTTTTTCGATGAAAATCTCGAATACTCTCTTTATGAAATGCTCGTTTGCTTTTCATCACTTTGTAATCGGTTGCTGTGTTTCTGCTGCATACTTCAAACACCGTCTGAATAGAAAAAAAAATCAATTAATTTCAAATACTTTTTCATTAAAAAAAACATAACTAATTTTACAAAAATTTAAACAGTGTGTCTATTTCACTTAAATAAATTGTAAAAAATTCAAAGGGTTTCTTTTCCAATTTTGAAGAAAATTTTCGACATTTTTTTAAATTAAAATTTTACTATTAAAGAAATTTTTCAAAATTCTCCAATTTTTTTTTTTTTGAACAAATAATACAGTAATTTTACATTGGTAATAAATTTTAGATTTTAATATTCAATTTCAAAAATTACGATGCTGAAGTTCACAACGTTTATTTATGATGAACGAATTTTAGAAAAAGTATTGTTTTTTTAATAAAAAATTCTATAAATTTTTGTCTTAAAAATATTAACAAAATGTGAAAAACATTTTTGACATAACAAATTTTATAATTTCCCGTTTTAAAAAGTTTTTTTTTCTAATCGTTGATCATAAATATTGTGGACTTCGGCATAATCAAAAATTAAACATAAACACTATTTTTATAAGTATAAGTTTCAAGAAAAAAATAACAATATTATATATCAATCTTGAAAATTAAAAATAAAACATTCTTCAAAATTGTAATATTTTCTTTACAATTTCAACCAATTTATTAAAAATTTAAAAATTAATTCACTTTATTAATTCATTTAGAATAAAATTGTACTGTATGTTTTTTTTATTTAGAATAATTAGGAATTTATTGTATAAAAACTTTTTTTCGTTTACTTTCTCTAAATAAATGAGTAAATAAATAAAAATTCACTTATTTTAAAATTCAATTTTATGATATTTTCAATTATTTGGAAACATGAATTATTATTATTATATTTCATATTTAATTGGTTTTAAAATGCAATTATTCTATAAATTTAGTCACTTTCGTATTAATTGTTATATAAATTCAATAATATGAAATACAATTATTTCTATGGAATTTAATTATTTTTCAAATTCAAATTTTGTTGGAACCGCAGTAATTATGTAAATTACAATATTATATTCATATTTTATTATTTTGTAACTTTAATTATTTGTATTTTTTTATGAATTTGGAAAAAATCCATAAAATTCGGTCTTACGAATTTGACCAATGAATGAGAAAATCATTTCAAAATATTTTTTTAACTTATTGATAGAAAAGTGTATAAATATTAATCAAACCTTTAATCACGAAATTCTTTTTGTTGAAATAAATTCATTTTTGTAAAAAAAAAAAATCCGTTTTTAAAAATTGTTTTCATAATTCTTGGTCAAATCTACATTTTTTTCAAAAACTTTAAAAATCAAAATAAAAACAAAAATTCAGCATAATTCATCAAATGTAAACTTACACCTGGAGGTCTGTAATTCTTCATCCGAGATAAAATATTCGCTAGTGAATTCTCCGCATCTCTCGTCTTAATATCACAAAATTCAGGACTAATTCCTGCTTCGATGATATGTAAATTTTTTACACGTTTCACACTTTCGGTTGAAGCAGCAGGTCTGGATCGCAAATATTGTTGATAGGCGTTTTTACAAACATTCTCCATATTTTCCTAACGAGAAATAAAAAAATTAGAGTTGTTAATGAATTTTTATCCTATCCCTTTATTTCAATAATATGTAAAATAAATTTAAAATGAAAATTTATTTAATACACACAAGATCTGTTGTGTTATCGTGCCAAGTAATAAGTTCAGAAACTTGTTCCTCAATCATTGACTGGGGCATTTTTCCTACTGCCCCCTCAGGAGCATCATCACTTCCTGCACTTGGAACAATGTGAAATGGACGTCCCAAAAAAAGATGCAAGTCCAAAAGATATGCGTATTCATCAGGACAAATAATATTGTAAGCAGTTCCAGTTCTTCCTGCTCGAGCACAACGTCCTAAAATGCAAAAAATAGAACTGAACATATGTAAATAGAAATTTCACCTTAAAAATTTATTAAAAACAATTATCAGTTAAAAATTTTATAAACTTATAATTCGTATAACGAAAAGTATAATTTCTTTTTTCTCAAAAATTAATAAGCCGTTTTAAAAATATTTTTACTTACCAACCCTATGTACAAAGACTTTACTCTTATCAGGAAAATGAAAATTTATAACATAATCCAAATGGGGAATGTCGATTCCTCTTGCTGCAACATCTGTTACAACTAAAACTTTTACTTTTCCAGTTTGAAACTTTGCCGCATTAATTTTCCGAGCCGAAGGATCAAGGTTCGAATAAATGTAGGTATTGGAAATATTAGCTTTGTTTAAAATCTGAAAATAATTGAAGCAAAAAAAAAATTATACAATTTTAATCAATTCATTCATTATTTTCAAAAATAAATATTTATTTTAATTATAAACAAGCAATGAAATGTTTAAATAAGTGATAACAAAAAAATCTATTATTTAAAAATTAAAGGGACGCATGAATAAGCTCGAAAATTCTTTTTTTAGAATTATGATTTGATAGAATCTTATTCTATAGAATATTATAATTTTTCAAAATATTTATTTATTAATGTTTTAGAAAATGCAAATGGTCGAAAATCAATTTGACAGAATTTTTATTTAGACGAAAATTAATTAGCCAGAAATTCAATTTGATCCAAACTTTGTCTTGTAGAATATTAATTTTGCAAAATTGTAATTTAAAAGAATCTTAATTTTGCAGAAAGAGGATTAGAAGAGAATATTAATTTTTCTGCAAAATTAATATTCTACAAGACAAAGTTTCGATCAAATTGAGATTCGATCAAATAAATTTCTGTCAAATTAATTTTCGTCTAAATAAAAATTCTGTCAAATTGATTTTCGAAAACATTAATATTCGAACAAATAAATATTCTGCAAAATTAATATTCTAAAAAATAAGATTCTTTCAAATCATAATTCTAAAAAATTTGGTTTAGAACTTATTCATGCGTCCCAAATAAAAAGAAGATTCGCTTTGTCTTTTTTACTTTGTAATTATGATTGTTTCCAAAATTTAAGAATTGATTAAAATTAAAGAAAAGTATTTTTTAAATTAAAATTCAAAATTTACTTTAAAAAAACGAGATAAAAATGAAAACCTGATGAATATAGTCGACATGATGCATTGTAGCTGCAAAAATGACAGTTTGTGAATCTGGTTTTATGATATTTTTCAATAAGCAAAGAAGAACGGCTAATTTCTCTTCTGGACGGCACGTTACAAAGGAAAGTGTCAATTCCTCTGGAAGTTTGCTCTCGACATCAAGACGCAAAAGAACTGGATCACCCAAACCAGCTTTTGCAAATTCAACAAGAACTTTTGGCAATGTTGCAGAAAATAAAAGCGTCTGCCGATTTTGAGGTAGTCTATTGGCTATTTCATGGATTTGTTCTCCAAATCCCATCTCGAATAATCTACAAATTTCAAATATTATTAGAATTTTTTGTCAGAATTTATCAAACAGATCACCCAAAAAATAACAAATTTAATGTGGTTTAAATTTAAATTAAAAACAAAAAATATATTTTTTTTTGTCTTGGAACGTAGTATTTAAAAATAATTTTTGTTTTACATAAAAATTTTTATTTTAAAAGAGGCAGACTAAACATCATTGAAGATGAAAATCAATTTTTTTTTCAAAATACCATTTATCAAACAACGAAGCTGAAATACGGAACGTTTATGATAAATTATTTTTAAAGAAATAATTTTTTAAAATGAAAAATTCTATAATTTTTTGCCTAAAAAATATTTCTAGCAGTTTTTATTAATCAACAAATTATAAAAAAAAAATATATTTTTTTATGTTAAACAATTTTATAATTTTTCGTGTTAAATAACAATTGATTTCTAATCGTTGATCATAAACCTTGATTAGTCAAAAAATTAGAATTTGAAAATTAAATTCATTACAATTTCGTTACAAAAAAAATTTGTCAGCCAAACAAAAAAATATGTGACTAAAAGAAATTTTTAAAAATCACATTTTGAAAAAAAAATAAATTTCAGTTCGCCTGATTTCAAATCAGTCTAAAGTTTTTTAAAATTAATTTTTGAGGACGTTTATCCAGGGTAATGCAGACCTCTAGAGAAAAATAATTAATTAACATTTATGTAATTAAAATAATATTATTAATTCTACTATTTGAAAGATGAAATATTAATTTTAACGAAAAAAATTTTAAACTTGTAAAATTTATTTATTTATACAATTTGCATAGGATAAAATTTTTTTGTTATATCGCTTCTACAGAATTCTTTTAAAAATGATTCGATTTCAATGAAATATGACTTATTTTCTTCAAAAAATGATTCTCTACAACTTCACCGTGGGGATTTTCAAACAAGCAAGCCGTTTGAAAAACGCAGTTATTTGTTTAAAAGAAAAATTTGGATTTTTTTAAACAAATTTCTGTATTTTCCAAAAGGCTTGCTTGTTTGAAAATCCCCACGGTGAAGTTGTAGAGAATCATTTTCTGAAGAAAATAAGTCATATTTTATTGAAATCGAATCATTTTTAAAAGAATTCTGTAGAAGCGATATAACAAAAATATTTTATCCTATGCAAATTGTATAAATAAATAAATTTTACAAGTTTAAAATTTTTTTCGTGAAAATTAATATTTCATCTTTCAAATAGTAGAATTAATAATATTATTTTAATAACATAAATGTTAATTAATTATTTTTCTCTAGAGGTCTGCATTTCCCTGGATAAACGTCCTTTAAAATGAAATTTGAATAAAAAAAAATGTATTTCTTTTTATTATTATTATTTCCAAATTTCATTTATACTAAAATTCAGAATTAACAATAAAATTGTGGTAAATTTTTTGTTTGTTATTTATTTACCGATCAGCCTCGTCGAAAACGACGTAGGAAATGCTCTTCAAATTGAGATCCATTTCAACGCAAATGTGTAAAAATCGACCGGGAGTTGCGACAATAATGTCAGGACTGCCATGAATTGCCGAAAATTGATTGTCCATACTGTCACCACCCAAAACAACTGCAGCTTTTAATCCAGTAAATTTTCCAATTTCTTTTATAAATCGAAGAGTTTGTAGTGCCAATTCACGAGTTGGTGAAAGAATTAAAGCCCTGGCACCGCTTTTTGCTTGACGAATTTTTAGCTTTTCAAAAAGTGGAATCAAAAAACAGGCAGTTTTTCCACTTCCAGTTCTTGCCATCGCCACAACATCTCGACCTTCAAGGGCCAATGGAATTGTCTAAAAAAAAAAATGTTCAATTTTCTTCCTTTTTCCATTTGCTTCAAATTAACGACAAATTTATTTACTACTTTCAAAATTTTATTATAAAATATTGCTCTCGCAAAAAATATAATTTACCCTATATTTAATGTATTTTTCCAACATGAATTATGTACGTATACAAAAAAAAAATTTTCTTTTTATAATTTTAATGAAAATTTTGATAATGAAACAAATTTATTTTCAAAATGAAAGAAATAAATATTTTTTTACAATACCTTTCGTTGAATTGGCGTTGGAATTTTATAACCTCGTTTCAAAATTCCATTTAAAACTGTTTGACTCAGTCCCATTGCTTGAAAACCACCGGATTTTTTTCCGACTTTTTTCTTTGTGTTAACCACCTCATCATCATCGTCTTCAAATTCCTCAGGATTTGCAAATCCTAAAATTTCTTCTGTTTTTGCCATCCTGGCAATATACACAACAAACAACTAGTTTGTTTCTAAATATTATAAAACTCACTCTTTTCTTTTTACTGATTTTGTTAATAAAAAACTGATAAATAAATACTTCTTAAATTCTAAGAATTAAATAAATATTTAAATAATATTTCTCTAAAACACATGCGATGAAAAACACGTGTAACACTTTTGTCAGAAAACAAATAATTTTAGGTTATGTTTCATTTTGTGTAAAGTGCGCTTAGTGTCTAAAGTCACGGCGGCGCTAAAATTTTTAAAACAATAAAATTAACAATGATTATTTATTGAATAATATTAATAAATAAATTTAAAATAATAATAATTTTATAATGAATGCAAGAATTATTTTAATAATTATTCTTTTTTTGTGGGAATAAAAGGAATTTTTTATTGTAGAGCTAATTATTAAATTCAAATAACGGAAATGAACAACAGTGACAGTGATCGAAAAACTAACAATTCTTCAACCTTGAAAGCACCTTCAATTTTTGTTTATTTTTTGTAAAAACACGTTTGTATAAGTACTATTAGAAAAAGTGTTCTTTTCTAAAAAAAAAAAATATTGTTACTGTTAAAAAGCATCGAGATGAAATTTGAATTTTTTAATATAACAAATAAAATACAATCATTAGAAAATTTACTTTGCTAAAATAAAGAAAGATTAATTTTTATTTTATCTAATGTGAAGAAAAATGGAACCACTTGAAATTTTGTGTATAATAGCGGGAATTTTTCTCCTACTCTATTTATATAGTAAGTCGACTCATGATTTTTGGAAAAATCAAGGTGTCAATGGGCCAAAACCAACACCACTTCTTGGCAATTTCACGGATCTTATGCTAAATCGAATTAGTGTGGGTGATTATACAAAAAAACTTTACGATGAATTCAATAGTGAACCCATGATTGGAATATTTGCTAGACGAACGCCAATTTTACTTTTAAGAGATTTAGATCTAATAAAGGATGTGTTAATTAAAGATTTTAATAAATTCGCCGATCGAGGATTGGCATTTAATGAGAAAGTTGACATTTTATCACCACATTTATTTACACTTGAGCCTGAACGATGGCGACCATTACGTAGAAATTTGTCACCAGTTTTTACATCCGGCAAATTGAAGGAAATGTTTCATTTACTTGTAGAAACATCGGAACATTTGGAACAATATTTAAATAAAGTGGTAATTGAAAATGAACCAATTGAATGTCGAACATTAACGTCAAAATTCACTGCTGATGTGATTGGTTCTTGTGTTTTTGGAATAGACATAAATGCATTGTCAAATGAAGAAAATGAATTTATTCGAATGGGACGAAAAATTTTTGACTTCAATTTTTGGAAAACTGTCAAATTTAGATTAAATACCATTACCCCATGGTTGTATGGATTACTTGGACCAATTTTAGCTGATCGGGAGACAGATAATTTTTTTGTTAATTTAATCAGGGATACTATGCAGTACAGAAAGGAGAATAATATTGTTAGGCATGATTTCATTGATTTATTGAGAGAGGTGAAGGAAAATCCTGATCGATTAGGTGATCTTGGTAGGTAAAATATTATGTAGAATACACACAAGGCTGCAATGATTTAAATCAAGTTGATGACATTTTAAATATATATTGATGACAAGTGTCAATAAGTTTCTAGGGTTATTCAAGATTAAAATTATTCTATAAATAAAAAATATTTTGGACTATGTTAGATTTTTTTTAATCTATAGAATTGATTGTTAGGAATCATGAGAAAAGTATAAAGAAAATTGACACTGAAAAATAATGAAAATTGCGGAAGTTGAATTTTAAAAATGAGGAGCAAAATTTCATAAGTCGATAAATCTACTTTTCAAACAAAAAATGGAGATAAATACAGACCTTACTAATCGATGAAAACTACATTTTCATTATTAAAAAAATAAAAAATTAATTTTCCTGACAATTTTAGAATTTTTTTTTAAATCGTAAATTTTCAAAATTTATACGATTAATAATTTTTCAGAATCATAAAAAAAGCGTAAAAGAAATTAGTGGTAAAAAATAATAAAAATTATCAAATTTTAATTTAAAAAATTTTTCTTTCAAAATAAATGTTTTTATATTTATGAATTTTTTTTATTTTTAATATATTTTACACGTCCAATTTATAAAACTGGAATAGGTACTTAGGATTTGCTTCATATTTTTTTTTGTTGAAGTTTTTATTTTAAAAATATAAATAAAAAATCAAATTTTTTTAATTTGAAAAAAATTGTGATTTTTATATCAGTTCTGTTCCTAATTTTTTCTTTTCTAAACAAATTCTATTATTGCAATATACTTATTTAATCGTGATTGCAGAATTGACTGATAGTTTGATAGCAGCTCAAGCTTTTGTATTTTTTATTGCCGGCTTTGAAACATCGTCAACGACAATGAGTAATGCATTATATGAACTTGCATTAGCTCCTTCAATTCAAGACAAATTGCGTAAAGAAATTCAAAATGAATTCAAAATAACAGAAGGCAAATTATTATATGATAGAATAAAAAATCTTAAATTTTTACACATGGTCTTCCAAGGTTTGTTTATAATGTATAAAATAACATTTCCAAAAATATTTTTGTATGTATAATAATAAAAAATGATTTAAACATAAATTTGTATATTTTACAGAAACTTTAAGAAAATATCCAGTAGTAACAGTTCTTATGAGGAAAGCAACAGAAAAATATACATTTTCTGGTTCTAATGTGACTATTCCAAAAGGGCAAAAAGTGTGGATTCCAGCTTATGCCATTCAACGAGATCCAAATAATTATCCTGATCCTGAAACTTTCAATCCACAGAGATTTAGTGAAGAAGAAGAAGTATCACGACATCCCATGTCATTTTTACCATTTGGAGATGGTCCTAGAAATTGCATTGGTGAATATATCATTTTTATATAATAATTAAAATTATCTCATTCATTAATATTTTTTTGAAAATTTTATTAAAAAATGGCAAAATTTGGAAATACAGGTGCAAGATTTGCTGTTTATCAAACTAAAGTTGGATTGATGAAAATACTCAATAATTACAAGGTGGATGTCTGTGAGAAAACTTCCATTCCTTATGTTAACCATAAAAGTTCATTTCTTCTACAGCCTAAGGATGGGATTTATCTCAAATTTCAAAAAATAACTTAATTTGTAACAGTTATGAAATTTTATATGTAAAAAGATTTATTATAAGGAACATGTTTTTTTATGAATATCTAGGACAATAAAAAAGTTACGATAATATACATATTCCTTATTTAGGTCCCTATTTCTCTATGTGCAATTGATTGAATTTAATTTGTATAAATGTAAAGATAATAAATTTGAAAAGTATAACTAAAGTGATGTTGCACACTCAAATTATAAAACAAAGTTTATTCCTTCGTAAAAAATTTTGTTGGCCCTGAAAAGGGCCGATTGTTTTGTTGGAGAGATCAAGATTTACTTTGAGCTGGTGTACTTGGTGACAGCCTTGGTGCCTTCAGAGACGGCGTGCTTGGCGAGTTCACCAGGAAGGAGAAGCCTGACAGCAGTTTGAATTTCCCGGGAGGTGATGGTGGACCTCTTGTTGTAGTGAGCCAAGCGGGAAGATTCGGCAGCGATACGTTCAAAGATATCGTTGACGAAGCTGTTCATGATGCTCATGGCCTTGCTGGAGACTCCAGTGTCGGGATGAACTTGTTTCAACACCTTGTAGATGTAGATGGCATAACTTTCCTTCCTCTTGCGCTTCTTTTTCTTGTCAGTCTTGGTGATATTTTTTTGAGCCTTGCCGGCTTTTTTCACAGCTTTGCCACTTGCTTTAGGAGGCATTTTCGATTTTCAGAGAGAGAAACAGTACGTCTGAACTCAACGAGAATACAGAGTGAAATGATGAAAAAATTTGAAAACCCGTCCTTTTACGTTCTTCTCCTGAACCATCCAAGCATGTGATTGGTGCGTGCACTCGGTGTAAATGCCCACCACTCATTGCACTGAGGGAGGAGGAACAGTGGTGGGGGACCCTAATGGAAGAACGTAAATAGGCGATTTTGCTGAAAATTTTGTATTATTCAACCAACCTTTGAGTTGTTCGTTTCGTTGTTACTAATCTAATTAAAAAAATGTCTGGACGTGGAAAAGGAGGCAAAGTCAAGGGAAAGTCAAAGACTCGTTCCAACAGAGCTGGACTTCAATTCCCAGTTGGTCGTATCCATCGTCTCTTGCGCAAGGGAAACTATGCTGAGCGTGTTGGTGCTGGAGCTCCAGTATACCTCGCAGCTGTCATGGAATACTTGGCTGCTGAAGTTTTGGAGTTGGCAGGAAATGCCGCTCGCGACAACAAGAAAACCAGAATCATCCCCCGTCATCTCCAACTTGCCATCAGGAATGACGAGGAATTAAACAAACTTCTTTCTGGAGTCACCATCGCTCAGGGTGGTGTTCTTCCCAACATCCAGGCTGTGCTTTTGCCTAAGAAGACCGAAAAGAAAGCTTAATTTTCTACCCACATCCTCTAAAACAATCGGCCCTTTTCAGGGCCAACAAGTCTTTTTTACGTGTGAATCTTGAGTTCTTTACATTCTGATCGTATTTATACTTAATCTTTTTTTAATGTTAAATAGTAAAATTTTATACATAAGTCAAAGTTCGAAAATTCGAATTACTTTTTCGCCTTGTCTACTTAGCCCGATACCGAGAGGAATAATTATTTATCATTTCTCAAAATATGTACCTAAGCATTTACAAAATCAGGGTGTCTAACGGTCAGGGAATTTCAGAAAATTCGGTTCAAATCAGAAAAATTTATGTAATTTCTACAAAAATAAAAATTGTTTATTCTAAAAAAACATGGTTTTTATTACCATTTGTTACTACCATTAGTAATTAATTTATTGTTAAATATGTCAGTAACAATATTTTTGTCCAAAGAAAGCAGAAATAAGGTTATTAAAAAGTCAGGAAATTTTTTTCTCATTCTTTTTTAGACACCCTGCAAATAAAAAAATTTATTTGTATTAATAAAATTACAGGGTTGCCACAAGTCACGGAAATTAATAAAAAGTGCTGGAAAAATGTAAACTTAGATTTTCATTAAAATATTCATTTGTTATGAATTTATATATCAAAATAACAATTTTACATGATTATTTGTAGAATTTGTAATCGAAATTTTATTTAACACAATTTTTGATAGAATTTATATTTGATAGAAAAAACGAAAATGTCTGGGAAAAATACAAAATTTTTGTCTGGAATACAGAGAAAATTATTTTGAAATTTTTGTGGCAACCCTGAGTTAATTTTTATTTGGAAATTTAAAGAAGGCTGCGTCTAGTAGTCCGTCTAGACGGATGAATTTAAATTGTCCGTCTATAGACGGATAATATAAATTGTCCGTCTATAGACGGATAATATAAATTGTCCGTCTAGTGCCAGTATTTACTGGCACAGTAGACGGATGAAATATTTTTTGTTAAAACTGTCCGTCTACCCGTATATATTTATATAAATATACATACATATAAACATTCAGCGCGAAATTCAAACTCTTTAAAGTTTAAATCGAAATTTTTTTTCAAATGATATTACATACCATTAAATTTTGAAGTTATAAAGATGAAAAGTCATTTTTCTTAATTGACGTACTGATCGATTTTTTCAAAAAAACTACTTCCTTTTATGAAAATTTTAAGCCTATAGTCTGATCGTGGGCAAACAATTTTTACAATATTTTCGTAATTTTTCAAAATTTTTTGAATATTTTAAAAATATTTTTGGTTTTTATACTACGTACTTTTATGTATTTTGATGCGCTGATTACGAAAATCTTAGTGACAATACCCGAAAATTTGATTTTTATGGTGAAAACCATAAAAAATGTCCTAAAGTTTATGGTTTTTTCCTTTATTGGGTAAAATATACAAAAAATTTAAAAAAATTCATAAGATATAAAAAAAGTATTTTAATAAGATCTATACCTTTTGTCGGGTAAGGATACTACTAAGATTTTCGTAATCAGCGAATCAAAATACCTAGTCTTAGTCCACGATCAGACTAGGCTTAAAATTTTCGTAAAAGGAAGTAATTTTTTTGAAAATTTTTGAAAAAAATCTATCACTACGTCAATTAAGAAAAATGACTTTTTATCTTTATAACTTCAAAATTTAATAGTAATATTATTTGAAAAAAATTTCCATTTTTTTTAAAGTACGTTTAAAAACATACATTTTGAAAAAAAACTTTTAAAATTGATGCATTTTTAAAGAAGTTATGAGCATTCAAAAATTAAAAGTCATGAAAATTCTGCAATTTTGAAAATTTCATAACTCAAAAATGGCTAGCTAAAAAAAATGTTTAAAAATATAAAAAAAAAATTTTAAAAGCTTCTATAGATTTTGAATTACAAAATAAGAAAAAAATTTGGTTTTTTGTTTTAAGTCAAAAACTGAAAAAGATTTTCTACCGGCCTTACATACTTCTGCATAAAAAAGGGTTTTTGTAGATCGACTGTCTTTGCCGCAATTTTAATTGTTTTACCTTATGAAAATAATTTTTTAATGTATTAAAATTAAATTTTAATATGTACTTAAAAATAATATATAATTGATTTTTTAATTCTGTTCTTGAAAAAAAATCTTAAAAATGGGTCTGATTTTCGGTCTTTACAGTGGTCTAACCCCTTAATATTTTAATTAGTAAAATATTCAATTTAATGTATATAGTTTTGATTTTTTATAATAAAATTACCTTTAACGGTTAGCAGTAACTGTTTCTTATGAATATTTCTTTTTTTATTTTGAATCCAATTGGATGAGTTTTTTACAGGCGCGTGGCAGGACCTTGTTAGTTGGATCGTGACTTATTATTAATAATTATTTTCTTAAGAGTAGACGGACAAATTTTAATCCATTTATTTCATCCGGATACTGTCTGATACTTTTAACAGTAATGCCAGTATAATAGACGGACAAAAATATTTATCCGTCTAGACGGACGACTAGCAGTAATTTCGTATCCGTCTAGACGGACGACTAGCCACTTCGTTTAAAGAATGTTAAATAAACTATTTTTTAATAATTTATTAGAAAATAAATATATCTAGGTATAGCTAAAAAGTTATAAATTTAGTTTTAAAAAAAAATTGTTTCAAATGTCAAAAGAAATTCCTTCATAAAAAATATTTGATGGCCCTGAAAAGGGCCGTTTGTTTACAATCATCCATTGAAAATGTCACAAGAATGACATTTTCACCTCTTTACTTCTTGGCAACCTTCTTTGCTGCAGGCTTCTTAGCTTTGGGTGCAGCAGCTTTTTTAGGGGAAGCTTTTGCCTTCTTTGGAGCAGCTTTAGTAGTTTTAGGTTTGGCAGCAGTGGATTTTGCCTTTGGTGGTTTTGCCGCAACTTTCGGGGTCTTCTTCTTTTCGGCAACAGCTTTCTTGGTCTTGGCTGCCACAGCCTTTTTCGGAGAAGCTGCTTTCTTAGCCTTAGGAGCAGCAGCTTTGGGTTTAGCAGCAGGAGTCTTAGCCTTGGGCTTAGTTTTACCTTCAGCTTTGGTGACGTTCAATTTGAAGGATCCTGCAGCACCTTTTCCCTTGGTTTGAATCAAGGCCTTATTGGCAACTGCAGCTTTCAAATACTTTCTGATGAAAGGGGCTTGCTTCTCGACATCGACTTTGTAGGTGGCAGCGATGTATTTCTTGATGGCTTGGAGAGAAGAGCCACCTCTTTCCTTCAAAGATGCGATGGCTGCATTAACCATCTCGGATGCTGGTGGATGACTGGCTTTAGCGCGTGGCTTCTTTGCCTTTGCAGCTGCAGCCTTTTTAGGAGTTGCAACTGCAGGCGCAGCTGGTGATTCTACTTTATCGGTCATTTCGATAATGAAATTTTCGAAAGAAAAAGTTTAATAACTTTAGAAATACTCTCAATGCAACTAGTGAAAGAGAAATGTAAATTTTTGCCCTGACGATCGGTGACCTAGGCAATTGCACGGACGGTGGAGAAAGACCCCTCCGCTCGTTCACCGCTCGCCGTTCGAATTCTCGGTAACTTAGGAACGACATTCAAAAAATTTGTTAACTTTTAAGTGTTAATACTTTGACATATTGTTGTAAATATCTTTAATTTTAATTGTACGATTATTGTACTTTTTAACTAACAAAAAATATCTTTTACTTTTATGTCATTCTTGGGTAATATTCAACATTTTTCGAAGCACTGCTTACAACGATCGGGCGTAACAAGTTTCAAAAATTGTTAAAAATATGTTAACAAATTTCGTTGACAAAAATTTGAGTTTTTAAATCAATTCTCGATTTATTCCCCTTTATGAATATTTAGTTTATTAATATTTTAACAATATATTGAAAGTGTTAGGAGTAGTTTAAGTTGAGCATGAGTTCAAATTTTTGATACGGAAAGCGCAAACGTTTAGAATGAATGCTTTGATCAATAATGAAAAAATTTAAACATTATTTTAGCATTGTTATATATATTTATAAATTTTAAACTTAATTTATTGTATTGAGGAATTTTTATTTTTAACTATGGACTTGCAAAATCACAAAACTATTTACACGCTCCAATAAAGAGTTTCTGTATATACATATATATATTTATTACTTTTAGCACATTTACTAATTTATAAAAGAATTTTAAAATTTCATTTTTTTAATCTTGGAAAAAGGTGAATTATTTGCGGAAAGTATGTAAAAAAATGTGAGGAAAAACTGATAGTTAAAAACAATTAATGTGCAAAATAATTAATTTGTATGTACTGAAATTTGTATTAATCTTAATTTTTCATCAATGATTGAAGCATTAATAGTTTAAAATTTTTGTAAATTGAAACTTCATGGAATTAAAATTTAGATGAAATGAAATTCGGTTACTTTGAAAACTAAATCAATTCAAATTTGAATAATTTAAAACTTAGATCGATAATTCTTTAGATATTGAAATTCCGTTGCTTTTAGTAAGTTTCGATTGATTGAATTTGCATTTAATTAAAATTTTATTAACTTAATTGAAAGAAGAATGATAAAAAAAATAAATAATTTACGAATAAATGAACAAATTGAAAATTTATTTATTTATAAAGGGGACTTCAAAAATAAAGTACCCTTTAAATACAAATTGTATAATATATGTGTATAATGTTGCTATTTAGAAAAGAATTAAACTAATTATTAAATAATAGATTACGCAGTGCTGTACTAAATGCATTTAAGTTAATATTAAAGAAATCAATGTCATTAGCAATCGTATTCGCCTTTATTGATAATCTATTAATGACAAAGTTAATTCCGTAATTTGTACTATGGTATGGTATTTGAAACAGTACATAATGTCTGGAATAACGTATTGGAATAGAAAATTTAATGAGTCATAGTAGAGGAAGACAATCAATGTATCCAGTTAAAATTTTAAAAAAGAAAAGTAAATCAAAATAGTGAAATCTAGATGCAAGTCTGGGTATGCTCGCCAATGAACGTAAGTTGTCATATTCATGTGAAAATCTGTCATAACGAACTTTTGTTTGTCTAGCAAAAAATCGAAGGAAGCGATTTTGAACTCGTTCGATTCTTACAAGATATTGAGCATAATATGGTCTCCATGACACAGAACAATTTTCAATTCGTAATCTAACAAATGAAAAGTAAAGCGATTTCAGAGTTCGTGGGTTATGAAACGCTAAAGCATTACTAATAACAAATTCGAGTGACCTGAGAGCACAGTTAACGATATTAGAAATGTGATAAATAAAAGAAAATTTTAATATTTTCTGTTTCTGACCAGGAAATCATTTTTTTCCTTCAGCTGCTGTTTTTGCTGATAATAATAAATATAATTGACAGTTTGTGAATAAGCCCTATAAATGTGAAACCAACTGGATCAATGGCTTTGCAAAAACTTTTTATCAATAATAATTACAAGAGAATTTATTTGTTTTCTTATTTTTAAGATCAATCAATGGAGCAGTTAGAAACAAAATAATTTCAACGTAAAAAAATGTGTTGGCCCTGAAAAGGGCCGATTGTTTCTTGAAGGGGTTGTAAAAAAATTAAGCACGTTCTCCTCGGATACGACGAGCCAATTGGATGTCTTTTGGCATAATGGTGACTCTTTTGGCGTGGATGGCGCACAAGTTGGTGTCTTCGAAGAGACCAACGAGGTAAGCCTCGCTAGCCTCCTGGAGAGCCATCACAGCAGAGCTCTGGAAACGCAAGTCGGTTTTGAAATCTTGAGCGATTTCACGAACCAAACGTTGGAAAGGAAGCTTGCGGATGAGGAGCTCAGTGCTCTTTTGGTAACGACGGATCTCACGGAGAGCGACAGTTCCTGGCCTGTAACGATGGGGTTTTTTCACTCCACCAGTTGCAGGCGCGCTCTTTCTGGCGGCCTTGGTTGCGAGTTGTTTCCTCGGTGCTTTACCACCGGTGGATTTACGAGCGGTTTGTTTGGTACGAGCCATGACGATGTAGTTGCTTCAGTGACTAACACAATAATGATGTTGGGAGGGGGTAAAATGCTGTATTTATAGACTTTTGCCTCCCATTGTTAACAGGAAGGGGAGTTCTAGGCACTTGATTGGTAGATTGAATTGTGGTGGGAGAAATGTGCAACACGACATTATAAAATAACGCTCACTTCCCCTTCCACGCATTCTCAGTTTGTTCTTCGTTCGAGTTTGACGTAGAAACTTTATTCTCTAAAAAATGACTGGTCGCGGAAAGGGAGGTAAAGGTTTGGGAAAAGGAGGAGCAAAGCGGCATCGCAAAGTTTTGCGTGATAACATCCAAGGTATCACCAAGCCTGCCATCCGTCGTTTGGCTCGTCGTGGTGGAGTGAAACGTATCTCCGGATTGATCTACGAGGAAACTCGTGGTGTTCTCAAAGTGTTCCTTGAGAACGTGATCCGTGACGCCGTCACTTATACCGAGCACGCCAAGAGGAAGACCGTTACTGCCATGGACGTCGTCTATGCTTTGAAACGTCAAGGCCGCACCCTTTACGGTTTCGGCGGTTAAATATAATCATCATCATCGTCATCATCATCTAAACAATCGGCCCTTTTCAGGGCCACTACATTTTTTAACGTTGAAATTCTTTTTCTTTGATTACATATTTATAATTATAATTTCATACAAGAGAATAAATAAAAGTTATTATATTCATTTTATGAACACAAATTAATTTTTAATAAAATAGCTCAAAAGTATCTTTTCTAACGATGAATTTAACATAATACCAAAAAGAAAAGTTTATCTGGAATATAAAATTCACAATTTGATATTTATTTTTCGAAGTGCCTATTTCTATGCTAACGTAAGCTGATATTTCAAAACTAAACCTACGCGAAGTGACAGCGAAATGAAAAATTAACGTAAACCGATCTCCCAAAACTAAACCTACGCGAAATGAAAAAAGTTTCGAAAAGTGACACCCGTGGGGTAAGTTTCACTTTTCACTTATAGTAAAAAAAAAAATTCACCATTATTCAGGATCCAAGGAATTTCCCAAAATACTTTCGGCCATATCCACCCCCTCTCGCCAAGGTTTTTTTTAAAAAGAAAAGCGAGCAGTACCTTACGCGGCCGAAGGCCGTGTTTACTATTTTGCATTCACATGTTTTTTACTACGCTAGTGTAATGATGAAGTGTATTTACACTTCGCGTAACTATAGTTTTGGAAATCAGTTTACGTTAGCGTAGGTATAGAGCCAGCGTTTATTTTTCTCTGGATGAGCTATTAGGTGCCATCACAAATTATGTATAGCATTTTTTTAGATATAATAGAAAAAAATTTCCTGTGAAATAAAAAATGATTTTAGGTTAAAATTTTGGAGAAATGATTTTGTTTGGTATAAGAAATCTCGCTGTTGTACTCATTTACTATAACTTAACGCAAAAATAAATCAATAAATAGTAAAATAATGTAGTATTATATCATAGTTCATTCAGCGGCCACTTGCTCGAATTGGCGCTGTTTCCTGGAGCACTGATACACTCAAGCAACGTCTGTTTATCCGCCGCCATGTTTGTTGTCATTTTCGTTTAAAAATATCACTTTTTCAATTATTTTTTAAATAATTTAACGCAAAATTAAGTTTTTTCAGGAGAACAGCGCGGTGCATTGAACCCAAATCTATCAACCCTCAAAATTTTAGCCTAAAATCTTTTTTCATTTTAGAGAAAGTTGGAATATTCAGGGTGTCTAGCGATCCGGGAAATCCGGGATTTTGGCGGGAATTTTTTGAGTCATGAAAAAAACCGGGAAATTGCCGGGAATTAGTAAACAGATCCGGGAAATCCGTAGATTTTTAGAAAATATTAGAAAAATATATTTAATTTTTAAATTTTCGTTGAAAATTTTTTATTGGTATACCCGTATCTGATATCCTTTTTTTTTAGAAATATTTCTAATTGTATTAATAATATATTTTTTGTAATTTATTACAAAAGCAGTGCAAATTGCAGTGTTTTATTAAATTGCAAGTAATTCAAAAAATAATGAAGTTTTTCAAATTTGCAATTTTACTTAAAAGGTAATTTTTCATAAAATTAAGGTAACTTGTCAATATTATTCCATAAATTTTTTCTTATATTCTAAAAACTTCGAAATTGAGGAAAAAAAATATGTAGTTGGGAAAAATTAAAGTTATTTCTGTTGTGCAGATGGAAATATTATAATTAAATGAAAAAGTACTTGGAAAAAATTCTCACAAAATCTTTGCATTAAAAAATTTAATATGTTTTGAAGACAAATTTCTTTTTAGTAATGCTAACCCTTCGAATCTCGACCTGGGTCGTTTGTGACCTAGGTGATATTTCAAATCTTAAAAAACGACCTTCAATTTTTGCTGAAAAAAATATATGAAATAATTTTTTTGTTAAATTATGAATGTTACTTCAACTTGATAGATTTACTAAGTTATTTGAAATTGAAAAAATACTGCGATTTACGGTATTTTCGTAATAATTAATTAAAAACTTGTCTTACATGCTTAATCCTAAGCTTATTTCATTAAAAAATTGTAAAAAGTATATTTTAATAAATTATACAAATTAAAATTACTTCCGAAACAGAAAAAATGCTTTTCCATTTTTAATAGTAACAAAATTATACAAATATAATTTTATTAGTTACTCATGTAACTTCCAAGGTATTATTAAAACATAGTATTGTACAATTTCAATTTAAGAAAATCCGGGAAAACTGTGTCTTAAATTCCGGGAAATCCGGGATTTTGCCGGGAATTTTAAAATAAAAATTCACTAGACACCCTGATATTGCAAAACACTACATACTAGGTCACGTGGGAGTTTCCCACATGCCTTTAACATTTTTCTTAATTTTATTTTTTTTTGTTTGTTTATACTTTTCAATTTATAAAAAAATCAAGAAAAACTATTTGCCTGTTGATTCGCTTCAAAATATCGACAAAATCATATTAAAAGTTGAAAATAAAACAAAATCAATCTGCATCGCTTCATCCACTATTAAATATAATGTGTAAGATATAAAAAGAACAATAAATATATGTTTAATTAATATATTTATCAAGAAAATTGGTGCATATTTTTAAAATTATTTATTTTTCATATGTTTGTGTGGAATATATAAAAAATTAAACAAATTGTTTATTATAAACTAAATTAAATGTTATTCCATTTCTTTATTATTTATAGAAAATCCAAATAAAATGAATAAAACATTTTTTTTAAGTTGAGGAACGCAAAAATTTTCTATATAAATATTTTGTATTGCCATAAAATAAAAAATCGTAATAAATAATTTTAGTTCATATTTATTTCCATACAAATAATATTTTGAGATAGTATTGAAAAAAATTTTAAGAAAAATTTATCATCGTATTTCTAAATTTTTTTTAACAATTTTCAAATATTAATCATATAAATCTTTATGTAATTTTAAAATTATCATAACGAACTTAGAGAATATTTAAAAACTAATCAATTTACCTATTATTGAACCTTTTATTTATTATAAAAAAATATTATGAAGTTACTGATGTTAAAAATCTATGAATGCCGAGCACCTTTTTTTGAAATTATTATAATACTAAATAAAAAAAAAATTAATTATTTTGTTTATTACTATTCAATAAAAAACCTTAATGAAAAATATATGCAATGATCTTTTTCAATGATCGTTTTATTAAAATGCTTGGAACAAACATAAAAATGAGAATTATAGAAAAATATAAAATATAGTGAATACAGTATTTTTATTTAAACTATCGGTATAATATCACAAATTTTTGCCTAAACGGCTTTAAAATTCTGTCTCTCTCTCTTTTTTAAAAAAAGAAAAAAACTGTAAATTAATAATATTTTCAAAGACAATTAACTTATTTAATATCATTAGTATAAACAGTAGAAAATATTTTCCATATCAAAAAATTTTAATATATGAATCAATCATTCTTTGTTTAATGAAAAAAATTCAATGACAAAATAATGTAAAATTATTTCTTTTTTTTTTAATAATAATAAATAATAATAACAATTTTAGTATATTTGGTATACTATTATATAAAATGACTCAATCTATATTAAAATTGTAATTTTCCGTCTTGCTATTTCGGTACAATTAAAAATAAATACAGAAATTACTCTTTTTTTTTTTACATATTTTCTATTGCACTAAGAAGTGATGCAACGCAAGAAAATTTTTTATCCCATTTTGTTGTTATAGAATATATTGATTTTTGAAGAAATAACCAAACTGGTTCACTTGGCTTTGGATATTCGGTGTGTAAAACGTGAAAACTTTTGAAACATAAATCCAGAGCTTGTAAAATACTTTGAAAACTATATCTTGTGTCATCTATATTCACATAAAATCTATTAACTACAGATAAATTTTCTCCAACAACGATTATTAACGGCTGAAGTGACATATTAAAATTTGACAATTTTTCTCTCATTTTTTTGATTTCTTCATCAATATCATCGGGAGACTGAAATTTTATAATTATTAATTCATGAAAATATGCATAATTTTATTAATTATAGTAGAAAAATATTATTATTATTATTTTAATTTTTTACCTTTACATGCAAAATAAAAGACGCTCGTGCCTCTTCAATTGTTGGCTTCCACACTGTTTTCGCTTTTCTAATTTTACAGATTGGTGGACATAGGGCTGGTAAAACCATTAATAATTTCAGGTCTCTTTCACCTTAAAAAAAATAAATTCGTGACGCTCAAAATTACTTCATAAAAAAATTTTTTCTTTAAAAAAAAAAAAAAAAAAAATTTCAAAAATGGGTTATGTTAAAGAGGTGTAATTAAACAAAATCGTCATTTAAACCGAATTAATATTTAATCGAATAGTCAAATTGTGTTTTTGGTCAAAATTTCTCAAACTAATCGCCTATAATTAAACAATTTAATTTTCTATGTTAAATTTATTTTTTACTCCTACTGCATAATCAAAAAAAGTTTCTGAAAATTAATGTGATGTACTTACTTTTTATTTTTATTTAAATTAAAAAATTGTTTTCAGAAATAAATTTTAACATTAGAATGCAACCAAAAAAAAAAAAAAAAAAACAGTTTTTATTATCATATTAATTAAGCAAATGTGAACCATTAAATAATCAATAAAGAAATTCATGTAAATTTTTTTGCATTTTGCGCTAAAATTATTTTTTGGCTAATAATATAAATATTACCATTTCAAAAATCAATTAAATAAAAAATCGCGCATTCAGTTATATTAAATTTGTCTATAAAAAAAAAAATTAATAAAAATTATTTTACCTTCGGAAATATTTCCAGATGAGAGTGTTTCAAGTAATTCTTTAGCTGCCTTGTCTTTAATTTCAGATTTCATTAATGTGTAAATTTTTTTCGATAAAATCGGCCAATGTATATCTAAAATTCCTTCTCTACCAATTTCATATTTAAAATCGCTTTCAATCTAAAAATAATAAAATCACCATAATGTTAAATTTAGAAAATTTTCCAAAAATAAAAAAAATCGAATGAACAAACAAAACAAAAGTTAGTTAAACTTCATTTTCGTCTTTTTAAATAAAAATAAATTTTTATATTTAAAAAATTTTAATTACAAATTTTTAAGTTTGTCAAATTTTGCGCAATTTTATTATGAATTATTAATATTTATTCATATATACCAATTCGTATCCCAAGGGTTGTTTTAAAATGGAATATTTATCAAAAATAACTTTGAGAGTTTCGGAAGGACGTTTAAATTCTGATTGTCGAATTTTCACACTCAATTGCCAATGAATGAGAACACTTGACCAAGGCCCATCATTATTGAGTAACCAATTAACGTGTTCCTTAGCTATTAAATCAAATATTACATGAATTAAATTAAATGAAATAAATAATTTCAATTTATATGTAGAAAAATAATGATTTATCTTACAACTAGAACTGATATCGTTAATGTCAGATTCATCTTCTTCATGATCAGAATTTTTTGAATCGAAAAATCCCAATTCTTTTTGTGTTGTTCTCAAATTTCTATATTTATCGACAAATTTTCCACGTGATATTGTTTGATTTTTTCCTTCTGTCTTTGGCGGAATGAAATATGAATCTGGAGCTTCTTTTTTGAAAATAGCACAAAATTTTTTAGTCAAAATAAGAAAGTGATGATTTTTTAATTCTGGCCTAAAATTATATATTTAAAATGTATATATTTTTCTAATAAATTGGAAAATTTCCATTTCCATTTAACAATTTAATATTTAACAAAATATCAAATACAATTTTTTTAGAATTTTATTTAAAGATTTGTTAATTTTTAATTTATTAACATTTTTCTAATCAATTTTGTTTGGATTTTTTTTCATTTTTTGAATATAATTTTTATTTTCATTGAAAGTAAATATAAAATAGAAATAAAAAAAAAAACAATTATAGGGTCAATTGGGGTAAATGGGGACAAGAGGTTTTGGAGCTTAATTTACAGTTTTGAAATTAAGTTCAACGTCAATATTTTAATCTCAGATCACCTGCAAGAGGTTTTGAGTATTGCCAAGCTTTTATCTTAACAATTGGCAGCAAGATATAAAAAGTTATCGCTCAATGCATAAAAACTTGAAAATCAATTGAAATTTTTTTATTTTTTTTTATTTCAGTATTTTGTCTCGCATTTGAAAAAAAAAGAATTAAAAAACATACCAAATTTTTTTCTTATTCCTTATGACTCCCATAACAGAAATTCACTTGAATTTTTGATTTTTATCAATTTGGTTAATTATGACAAGCTGTCTCCATTTAACCCAAAAATTTGAAAACTCAGGGTAAATGGGGACAGCTTGTTATTATTAACCAAATTGACAAAAATCAAAAATTCAAGTGAATTTCTGTTATGGGAGTCATAAGGAATAAAAAAAAAATTTGTTATGATTTTTAAGTCTGTTTTTTTTTCAAATGCGAGACAAAATACTGAAATAAAAAAAAAAAATAAAAAAATTTCAATTTGTTTAACTATTATATATCTACTACAAATTTTTTTTCAAGTTTTTTCATCCCTTAATACAATAATATACTTCAGGAAACTTATTTCTTAAAACTTTCTTAGAAACTATGCTGTCCCCATTTACCCCAAATTTTATGAAATTTTCTAAATTTTGGGGTAAATGGGGACAGTCAGTTTCGAGCTTATCTAAATTTTTTTCTGCTGCATAAAATTAATCCTGGGAATGTAAATAACAATTTAAAAAAAAAATAAACCCGCAAATATTACCTTTTAAAGAAAGAAACTTACGTAATTTGTGAAAAATAGCGATTTTGTCCCCATTTACCACAACTGACTCTAGTTACTTACATTTTAATATTACCATCACTTGATATTGGAATTTCCATCAATGATCGAATAATTAAATCGACAAGAACTTTTCGAATTTTGCCTGGTAAAGCTTTTTCTTGATATTTATTTAAAATTTTCTGTCCAGTTATAGTCTTTTTTAAAAGAGCAGTCAAATCCTGCAAAAATTTGTTATAATATTAGAAATTTTTAAACAATTTAGAATATATTACAATTTTTTTTTTTTTATAGAAAAATTAAATATACCTCTTTTCATAAATTTACAAATAAAATACAGTTTCCAATTGATTGGAAATAAAAAAATAATTCGATAACTGATTGTGTAATAAAAAAAAAGTAACTTACAAGGGTATTCATATTTCTGAAAATATTTTCATTAATATCCTCTGTTTTAGATTCTTCTAAAATATTCAATTGAACATCAGAATTATTTTCGTCTAATGTTATTGTCTCAAAACAATCATTATTTTTAGATGTGCTTGGTCGCTTTACTGTAACCTTTAATAATACATATTGGTAATTAATTGTTAATTTATAATTTAAAATAATAAATTAAGTTATTCTAAAAACAAATAAAAATTTCTTTTTTTTTAAATAGATAAGTTTTACAAAATTTTTATTGCACTTCTACAAAGTATCATAATTTCTAAACCTGTAATTGATTCTGTGATTCTACTGCAAGTGGATCAAAATTCAATTCTTGACAAACAAGTAAATAATTAACATCTTGTTCTTCCTCTAGTGGAAGAATTACAGTTTGTTTTTCTACTAAAGATGATTGAGAAAGGCCGTTGTGATTGTTACCTAAAGAAATTTTTTTTTTTTTAACTACACAAAAATCTTGAGTATGCGATCGAAAATAAAGTGATATTTACCATTTTCCAATATATTCTCCCATAAATATTTACTGACATTATTTTTAATAGATTCCTCAGAATTATTTAGATTTTGAGAAATATTTTCATATGATTTTAATTTTTTAATTATTTCCGTCAAGGAAGCAACTTTTTGTTTTAATTCAATAATTTGACGATTTTTCTCTTTATTCTCAATTTCCTTGGCTTTTAATTTTTCTTCATATATTTCCATACCTCGTCGTAATGTTCGCGGTGAAAGCTCATATTTATGATCATGATCAACGAGTTTACGTGATTTTAAAACTGGCGATCCACTTGGTGATTTTTCCCCGTCAATCGATTCTTCTTGTACAATGTCCATTAATTTTTCAGTTTTAACACATGTAACATATCCTTTTGAATTATTTTCTGTAAATTAGCATTATTACTGCTTTTAATTTTTTTTAATAAAAAAAAAAAAAATTTCCCAACCTGGTTTTGGAGTGTTATTTAATTTTGACGGTACACTTCCTTCTAATAATTTTAAACGTTCTCCCACCTCTCGCTCATTGAAAGAGAATTTATCAAAATGTCTCTTACACACTACACTATCAACTGTTGGTTGCCAATTTTTCAATTCTAAATTCTCTAACCATTTTTGAAGAAGCTCCGGATTGTCTAATGGAAAACTGTGAATAACAGTAAAAAATAAAGAATAAAAAAGAAAAATTAAAAAAAAGAAAAAATTAGTGCTTTCAGTTATAATTACATACTGGAAAAACGAGCATTTCGTTTGAAGTGTTCTCTTTCTTTTGCAGGACACACAATGCGAACCAGAAATTGTACGAATTGTTGGAATAGCCTTTTTTTTCAGTCTCGTTCGAAATGTACTTACATCGAAACAATCATTAGTAAAATGATCTGAGCATAAAATGTCCTCTTTCTTTGGTATGAAATTTTTTAAATTCAAATTTTGAAGCCATTGTTCAAGAACAAAAGAATCATTTAAAGGAAATCTGCAATAGTAAATAATAACTTTTACAATAGAAATTTTCATTGTAAATAAAAAAAAAAAAAAATGATATATACAAATATAATTTGAAATTACAATGCAAAAAAATTTTAAGAAAAAAAAGTTATTTTTAATTGAATTGTAATTTTTTTTTAATAATAGAAAATTTTAGCTAAAATAAACAAAATTTTTTCTCAAGATTCAGTTAAAAAAATTAAAAAATAGGTTTTTCTCGTCTACGCTAATTACGTATCAATTAATAAAAAAAATATTAATTATAAATTATTCAATTATTAGACTTATTATAATTAAATAATTTTCATTAAAAATTTTGCAATTTCTATTATATATAGATTTAAAACACCCACGCTTTTTGAATTTCAGGTTATGTTTCAAGTACTTGAGTACTAATAATGTTTAATTTAATTGTAACACACTATCAGCAATATACATAGTTAATATATTGATGACAATTTCTACATTGAATGTTATATGTAATATTACATAAATTTTGTACAAAAGTTCCACAATATTCTGCATAAACAATTGTTAGTTTTTAAAGTATATTGTATAAATTTCTAAAGAATATAATTTTGATTTATTTCAATTTTTGTTTTGTATGTTATTGATAATTTACTGCGATTAGAAGTTGTTTTTCAAAAATATATTTATACTTACTTGTGAAATGTACGATTACTTTCCTTCTTGTTTGAAATACCACACATGCAACACTTTTTCATTTTTGTATATTCAAATGTGGTGTTTCTCGTTAAAAAAAGAAATTTCCCAATCAAGTCACGATATTAATTTTTAAATGAACATAAAATTTTGATATATTTACCACATTATTGTTATATTCATAATATAACAATAGAAAGAATAAATGAATTTACTTTAGGGAATTGTTTACGTCTCCCACCTAACCTAATCTTTCGTCTTTTCAACCACGGGTTAATTCCAAGTTAATCGTGATTGGTTAGATCCAATAGAATGTTAACAAATGTTAATGATGATTGGATCGTCGTTAATCAAACATCATGCATGGTAATTCATTGCAATGTTAAACGTCGTCAGAATGTCACCGAATGTTTGTAAAAAATTTTGAAAATTCATTTAGCAAACTAAACTGAACTGAACACTTTAGTAAGAAAATGGAAATTAAATGATGCACAAAGGTAACAAATTTTTCTAATACTTTCAAAAAGTATTATTCATTTATTTAATACATTTATTATTGATTTTAATAATTTAATCATTAATTTTTATAGTGTTATTGTCAAATTTTGATATTTTTTACTAATTTTCAATAATATTAAAATAATAGTGTGTTTATATTTTATTATGTAATTATTTGACATAAGGTTAACCTTTTTTAATAAAATAATTTTTAATATAAAAATAATATACTTTTTTTTTAAAAATAAATAATTATAATAAAAACCTAATTAACAAAAAATTATTTCAATTGTATTTAATAAAAATTTAAAAAAATTTAAATTAATTAAAAATTCTTTTTTTTCGTTTATTTAAATAGCTATAAATAATAATTTTCAAAGTCTACATTTTTAATTCAAATAAACTTCTGAAAATATTGAAATTGAATTGATAATTATTCTTTTTAAGCACAAATGAATTTTTAAAAAAATGATTCGACTATCATTTTCAATTTTATTATTGCTATTAATAAAATTGGTGTTTATTTCTGGTTTGCAAAACTGTTTCATTGACAGCAATAATTTTTATTGTAAATTTGGTTCAAAAACTCCGTACAGAAATATTGCAAATTATGAAGATTCTTCATTTAATTTTCCTGGTATGTAACTTTAATATATTTATGTTAAACATTTTTTTTTGTTTATTTAATTTTTTTTGACGATATTTTTTTAAAATTAATATTTTATTAATGAGTTGATTTGAAAAGCGTGAAATAATTAATTATTTTGATTTATTGAAAATTCATTCATTTTAAAAATTGCAGGTTGTACAGAAAAGAAAATTTGGTTTCTAATTCGACATGGTACACGTTATCCAAAAAGAAAACAGATTCTTAGCTTTATTGAGAAACTTCCAGAAATTAAAAATTTGATACTTGAAAATTTTCGTCTTAATAAAACTACATTGACCGTGTCAAGCGCTTTAAAATTTACCAAATGGAAAGTGACTTTTGATCTGAATCAATCCAAGACATTGGCCGAAGAAGGAGAAAATGAAATGATAGATTTGGCTGAAAGATTTCAATCCAGATTTCCGAGTATTTTGATAAAAAACTATGATAATACAACATATAAGGTACAAAAAAAATTGTGATTATTAAATTCATATTCTCGAATATTTCCTAAAAAAAAAGTTAATTATTTCTTTAAACTTTGCAGGCTTCACAGTTTTTCCCCTTTTCCTCTATTTTAAAAAATTCCCCTTTTTTCACTCATTTCTCCTATTTTATGTTGAAACTCGAATAATGGGAGATTTAATAAAAATCCAAATTTGAATCAAAAAATTATAAACCTCGGATTGAACGACTTTTTCTACTTTTTTCAATGAATGCCACTATTTCGACTTATTTTTATAAAATGTGCCTGAATTAGAAAAATTTGAATTTTTTTTAAATTTAATTTAAATAAATTAAAAATTTCTGTTTTCTTTGAAAAATATGAATAAAATCAAGTTTTGTATATTTTACAAGACGGTTTTTTTTTGGTTTTATAAAATAAAAAATTACTTGCATTTTTCAAGAAAAAAATTAGTTTAGAAGTAATTTTCAATCGGTGGAAAATTAATTTTAAAATAAATTAAAAAAATAAAAAGTGTTTATTTATTAGATGTACAATTCAAATTTTTAAAAAACATTAAAATAATATTTAAAAGAAAATTAATTACTATACTGAGAAATTCTCTCCTTTAAATCTGACTTTTCTCCATATAAATTTATCATCTTTTAACAAATTTGGAAAAAAATTTTTGGTTCTATACTTTCAATGTTTTTATTCATCAAGAAAGTGGATGGTCTCCAAAATTTCGCCGGTAGTGTAATTTAAAACAACTTTAAAGTATTTTGGTTAAGGAAAATATACATTTAGATTTTACTCTATTTTTCCCCTTTTTTCAAACAAAATTTTTCTTATTTCCCTTTTTTTTTAGCAAATTTTATGCTGTGAGGCCTGACTTTGTGTTAATGAATAATAAATAATATCAATCTAATTAATAATATTTAAATTAATGAATAAACAAAATTTATTAAATTGAAATTTAATTTACTAATTTAATTTTTAAATTAAATTTTGGATATAAATTAATAATTTTTTTTTTCATCAAATCTTTAGAGAAACAAAATATAATTTGTAAATAATGTTATGTTGAAGTACTAAAACTTGAAAAAAAAAATGTTATAGTTTAAATACACAGCGACTCAACGAACTGAGTTGAGTGCAAAAAATTTTGCTTTGGGATTATTTGGAATGAAAAAAAGTCAAAATGTCTTATATGAGAATGCAGAAAAAGATGATCCAATTTTGAGAGTAAGTTTTTTTTAAAAAAATTAGTTCTTTATAGTTATACATGTATTTCTTTTTCTATTTTTTTTCTCTACTTCGTTACATTATTTGCTTTATTTTTCAGTTTTATAAAAATTGCAAACTGTGGAGGCAAGCTATTCATAAAAAACCCGCAGCTACTAAAGAAAGAGAGAAATTTATAAAAAGTAGAACTGTAGAAAATATGCTAAATGAATTTTCAGAACGAATTGGAGAAAAATTGGACTTTGGTAAGGATTTTATTTCCGTATAATAACTTTTGATTTGGATAAATTTTTTTTTTATCTTTTTTGAACTCTACGAAAAAAGGTGAATTATTTTTCCATCATTTTTTGCATTCGAAAAATTAAAAAAAAAAAAAACTTTTTAAAATTGATGTATTTTTAAAAAAGTTATAAGCAAACGAAAAAATCTGATATTTAAAAAAATTTATATCTCGTAAACATTTTTTGATAAAAAAAAAAATTAACAACTTTTTGGATATATCGCTTTCTTAATTTTCCAAACGAGTTGTATGTTAATTTTAAAATATGAAATTTAATTTTTCAGACACAGTTTTACTTATTTATCTCGCGTGCAGTTTTGAAACAGCTTTGGGTCAAGTTTCTCCTTGGTGTGATTTATTGTCGTTAAAGGATTTCGAGGTATATTAACAAAAATCCCATCTTTTAAAAAAAGTGTTTAATAAGAAATTACAAATTTTCAATAAACAAAATTTAATTGTTTAATTCTTTAAATATTTTAATTTTGAAATATTTTTAAATTAAAAAATTGTCAAATATAAAATTTTCAATTCTTTTTTTTAGATCCTGGATTATTTAGAGGATTTGAAAAGTTTTTGGAAAGATGGTTATGGACATTCTCTAAATTGCGATCAATCTTGTGGGACTTTAAAAAATATGTTCGAATTCTTCGAGTGAGTTTAAAAAAAAAAAATTGATAAAAATTTTATGGAATTTTTTTTACTTTTTTTTTAGAATAAATATATTTTTGGGTCAATCAATTTTTTTTTTTTAATTAAAGTTAATAGTTTTCATTTTAAGAATTAATTTATTTAAAATTATAAAATTTTAGATCGAATGCAAAACTCTCTGTGGTATCGTATTTTACACATTCAGGGGCGATTGTGAAATTTTTATGTTTGTTGGGATTGTCAAAAGACGAAACTCCCCTCACAAGTGAATCTTTTCTATTTCACAAAGATAATCGTCTTTGGCGAACTAGTTTGATTGACACATTTGCATCTAATATTGCTTTTATATTCTACAAGTAAGTATAATGACTATTTTTTTTTCTTTGAAATTAAATTTTTTTTTTAAAAAAAGTAAAATTCTAACAAAACATTTTCTTGTGGATAAATTGATCATTTTTTGAATTTTAGTTGCAAATCACAAGGACCAAGTATTCTTTTTATGCATCAAGAACGTATCGTTCAACTTCCCAATTGTCCACCAAATATGCCATGTCCAGTTTTTAAAATGAAGGACATGTATCCGGACAATGACGAGGAGTGTAAATTTGACGAAATGTGTTCTATAGAAAAGAAAGAACTTTAGGAAAAGCATACAGCAAAAGTTGAGGTATTTAATACTTTTTTCATGTTTTTTATTATTATTTTTATTTTTTCCATTTTAAAATAATTTTTTAATTAATTATTTGTTAAGGAAATGTGTTAAAAAATTTTACTTATATTTTTTGAAATTCCTGAAATTTATTTATTTTTACAAAACAATACAAAATTCTTGTTTTTTCCAAATTTGTAAAATTAAATTGATTTTTTATTTCAATTTTTTTTTATGACTTTCTATTTCCTCAAAATCAATTTTTTTTCATTTTAGAAATTTTTCGTTTTTGAAATAATTTATTCTTATAAATTCTTCTTTTTTTTGTAATTCCTAAAAATTCTCCACTTTTCTTTCAATTTCTTTGACTCTTTATTTTCTCACTATTTTATTTTTCTTCATTTCTCTAAAATGATGGTGATTTTTTTTCTCTTTTTACAAATTTTATTTTTTTTAAATATTACAATTTTTCAAAATTCGTAGATTGATTATTCAGAATTACATAAAAAAGATTATAGTGAAATATAACAGAAATTATGAGAGAATTTTTAATTTTAATTTTTCAAAAATTTCAAATTCAACCATTTTTTCTAATTTTTCATAACGTTAAATTCTCAATAGTATCAAAAAATATATCGACACTTCTAAACAAAGTAAAAAAAAAAATTCTATTTAAAATTCTATTGGAAATATTTTTAAATAAAAAATTGTAGATTTTTCTTTTTTTTTTAACATGAATTTTTTTTTTTTTTTTTTTTTTTGAAAATTGAAATCGTCTATGATCCTTTAAACATTTTAAGAATATTCTATCACCTTTAGAATCTTTCAAGTGCAAAGAAGGGTTTTAATCTATCGTCAGCCGTGTGTGAATAATAAGCCTCTTTTTGCTTTAAAACGCTCATTATATATATACCTACCAAAATCGTCGACAAAAACTGAACCTCACTCTATATGTTTTTTTTATTTTATTTTCTCGGACACCTTTAGAGAAAAATTATTTTAAAATTTTTATAAAACGTTGAGAAAACACTATTTTAAAAATTAAACATATAATGGAGAATATAAAGTTCTAAGTCTCATGTTTTTCCATTTGCAGCATAATTTTAAGTACCTGAAGGGTAGTAAAAGTAATAAAAAAAAAAAAAAAAAATAGAAAGAAATGTAAAAAAAAGAAAATAAAACAGAACGTAAAGATATTTTCCGTTGGTAAAATCAATATAAAATTTAAAAAGAATATTTGTAAATCAATAATGCGCTATTTAAATATTTATAAAATTCATCGAAAATTTGAATTTTTCATTTTCAAATCAATATATTACATATATCATGAGTTTCGTTCTCTTTCGTTCGAGAAATTTGATTTTTCACTTTATTATGTTTTGATTATTTTTTATAAATAATAAACGCGCGCTGCTTGGTTTTTCGTATATATATGTGCACGATGAAAGAACGAAGAATGGAAATTCGAATGCGGTAAAAAAATTAGGTCGAACGAATAAATTACATGCTGTGCTGTTCCAATTTAAAGTTTTGCCTTTTCCGCAAATACTAGACAGATCACTTTAACGTCCTAGGATTTGAATTTATTTTTTAAAAAAATTTATTTAAGTATACACTCATCCTTCTGATTTACTTTTTATTATATTATATATGTACAAAGGAATTCTTGTCTATTTCATTTTACTAAACGTTTTTAAATTTGCATATATGAATTTTTTTTTTTTGCTTCTCCTGCAATTTTTCATCACTTTGCATCATGTGAAAGATAATTTTTCGTTGAAATATAAAGTGAGTATTTTTTTTTTTATTTTTGAAGGTTAATTGACGTTGAATTTTAATTTGCTCATGATTAACAATTAGTTGTTTTTACATTTTCATCAAATATGAGAAGAGGTTTTTCTGAAAATTGCGACTTTCGCATTACATATGTATATTAGAATGTATATATAATTTTAAGAATTTTCTAATCTAATTTTTTAGGAGCTATTTCTTAATTTATAAATTTATTATTGTAAATTAAAATTTTTTTTTTTTATAATTTAAAAATTTTGAACTTTTTTCTATTCCAATTTATGTACTTGTAAGAAATTTAAAAAAATACACACTATTTTTGCATTTCACATAAATTTTTTTTTCTTTTCTTTTTTAACCTATGGAAAAATGGGAATTGTAATTTTTTTAAAAAAGTGCGTTTAAAATTCTCGGAAAAAAAAATTGCAAAGAAATTAGAGTGCTTTCGAGTATAAAGTATAAATCAAGAAAAATTTTTTACGAGCAAATAAAAAATTCTAATTGGAACATTCACATGTTCATTGCTTCGGCGCTGAACTTTATATTTTTAAATGTTCTGAAGAAAAGTGAACTTTCTATAGTGGTGAATTTTTTACTGTTTGCATTTTTGGTAAACGGATATATGTAAGATTCAATTGCTTTTTATTTATATTCGTTTTTCTAATTTCAAATTAAATTAAATTTATACAACTTGTAAATATTTTTCTCTTAGTTTCTTGATTATAAATATGAAAAACATTTTTTACCATTAAAAGTTCATTTTTATTTATGTAAAATCAAAATCAGTTTTTATTCAATATTTTGGACAAAACTAATTGTTCTGTTCTAACTAATAAAAAAATTTTTTTTTTCCAAATCGATTTATTTTATAGGTGTTAATTTTCTTTTAATTTGAAAGTATAGTTTTTAAAAATTTAGAAATAATTAAGATTTTATAAAAATTTGTATATTTTATTTTTTAATATAAATTGTTAATATTTGTAAATAAAATGAGATATGTAACTTTTTTAAAGAAAGTATCGGTCTATTTGTATGATAGACATTGTAAAAAAAATGAATTTTGAAAAAGTGGAAATCGAGTTGGACATCCTTTTATGAATAAAAACGTTGGAAATAAAAAAGGTGGAAAAAAAAATGGGAAACGTAAAAGGACATTAAGTATTTCAAGTGCACTGACAAGTGAAATTTCAAAAGTATGAGAATGTCAGTATTTTTCTCCTGTAACTTTTTTCGTAGACAAATATATTTCTCCTCTTCTAATAAGCATCAATTAGAAATATATAATAAAAATAGTATGATAAATAATAATAATAAATAAATTTAAAAAAAAATATAATAAATAAAAAAAAATTAACAAAAATAAAAAATTGATAAAAATCCAACAAAATTCCTTTCGACAACATTTTATACAAATGAAATTAGTTTCCATTCATAATTAATTATTAAATAAATTATTAAAAATTATTACAAAATAAAAAGAGTTTTTTTTTAACTGTGGAAAAATTGTTTCCCATCATTGTTTGTTGGAATTAGAAAATGTTTACACATTAGTTCAATGAAGAAATTAAAAATTTTTTTTTACCGGTAAATTAAATAAATAGTCTTGCTAAGTTGCTTTTAAGAAAATTTTTCTTTCCTTCTCTATAAATAACATAAATTTTCTTTTAGTGCGGAAGCGAGGAAACAAAAAGAAGGTTCAATGTAGCAGCTGAGGTCTCATACAATGTTTTTCTACATCGAGGCATTCAAATGTATGTTAAAATATTTTGTCATTTAAAAATTGTGAATAATTTTTATATTTCTAAATGCCAATAAATTATTTTTACATTATACAAATTATTAAAAAAAATTTTTTCTTTGAAAAATTAAATTTATAAATAAAAAAAAGAATGTTGTTTCGATGCAAAAAAATTGTTTTTTAATACAAAAATTATTTTTTGGAATAGTTTTTTTAAGAAAAAAAAAAATGTATTTTTTATTTAGAAAAACTAATTTTTATTTTTATTAAATTTTTTCAAAGCAGAGAGAATAATTTTCTTTTTAGAAAGAAAGTAATAATGTTATACACACATGTTGCGAAGTAGATAAAAATTTAATAAGAATTTTGTATAACAAGTATAATACACATTGATATATATATATTGTAAACTTTGAATAGGAACAGATTCACATTTGTTTTCGTATTGCATTATCATATTCAAATTGAACTTGGTGGAAAATAGGTTCCAAAGATGAAAACACGTATTCATGGTCAATTTTCTCGCTTGTGATCGCCTTCTCTGGTCAAAGTATATAGAATATTTCATTGAAAATGGTAAATATTTACTTGATTCGTTTTCAATAATTTTACAACTGTACATATGCAAATTTTTTTGTTCTTTTTTTTTAATTTATCAAATTAAAGGGGAGGGACCGGTGAATTTTTTTCTAGCATTATTTGGGATCTAAAATATTATTGTGAATTTTCAAAATTAAAAACAAATTTTTTTTTTATCATTTTAGAAATTTTATTTTTTGAAAATATTAAAATTATTAAAAATCCATACGATTGATTGTTCAGAATCATTAAAAAAGCGCCTACAAAAAAAATTACCGATAAAAAATAATAAAAATTGTAGAAGAAATTGAATTTTTAAGGAATAATTGATCAAATTTAAACCAAACATAATTGGTTTGGTTTATGGGTAAAAATTTTTTTTTACAAATTTTGCTACAACCTCAAATCATATTTCACTATAAAAAATGAAAAAAAAAAATTTTTAACAATTTTTTTTTATTTTTTAGAAATTTTTTTTTTTTTTTTGAAAAAATTGAATTTTTTCAAAATCCATACGATTGATTGTTCAAAATCATGAAAAAAGTGTATAATAAAATTAACAGTGAAAAATAATAAAAATTGCGACAGAAGTTTAAATTTTTTAATTTTTTAAAACTCAAAGTGAAAAGAGGAAAACTTTTGAATTTTAGTTTTCATCATGGAAAAAAAAAAATTTTTGTGTGATATGATTTATTGTAACGAAACAATTTTTTTTTTTGAACTGAAAAAAACGATGACGCTTGAATTTTTAAATATTTTATCATCACGTTGTATTTTGCGTATTACTGTACACACCAGGAAGCTTGGTATGCGCATACCAACCATCGTGATGGTGATTTACATACTTTGAGTGCTTTACTCGCTGAATGGGAGGGATGAAAAAAAAATCTCCCTCCCCCTAAAAAAAGAGATATAACGATAACTCTTATTTTTCACGCGTTCAGCGGAAAAAAAATTTATTTTATTAGGTAATTAACACGTGAATAAATTTATAAAAAAATAGAAAAAACAGAAATTTTTTAAATTAATAAAAGAAATTTTTTTTTCATTTTTTTCCCCTGCTTTTTTGTATATAACACTTTGAAGAACTATTCAAGGAAAAATGCGAGAATTGTGAACTGGTCATGGATAAACATTGAATTTAAAAAAGGTGGCGGGATTCTCTATCGTGAAGAGAGAGAGTAAGAGAGAGAGAGGGAGGGAGGGAATAAAGTTTTACGCTTTTATTCAAAATGCCAACGATGTGAAAAGATGTCTCAACGCCGTACTAAAATTCTTATATATGAACGCTTCAGAAAATTCAATTCAGTCGGTTTATATAATAAATTTCAATGATTTTTTTCGACGATAAACTGCAACTGAAAATTAGAATTGTTTATTGAACTCTCTGTGAGCGTAGTTCTTTTGAAATTTACGATTTCGAGTGAGAGAGAGAGAGAGAGAGAGAGAGAGAGAGAGAATGGAGTTTAGAAAGAAAACTCATAAAAGAGAAAGATTGCAAAAACTCTCCTTTGTTCTATTTATTACTCTTTTTCGTAAATCGTTATGCACTTTTTCCTCTTGTTATAAATTGATTGAGGTACTTTTAAGTTCTCGTATATCTCTGAAATTGATCAAATCGTTTTGATTTATTCCACATTGGAATTTCCTTCTCTTTCATTTTATTCTCTCTTTTTAAATAGACCGAAAAAAATTACTTTTTTTGTATTTGTAATTTATTTAATTTTTTTTTATGAATATAACAATATATAGGTATATATATATAAATATTTTTGTCCTACCTGCACGGAAAGTGTGTTATTTCGTGCACTTGAGGCGGTCGCAAAGTAAGTGATTCCCGCCCACAGATGGGGTGAGCGGGCGCAAAGTACATTCGCGCCCGCTGACGTCATAGATGCGGGCGCAAAGTACATTCGCGCCCGCTGACGTCATAGAAGCGGGCGCAAAATACATTCGCGCCCGCACCATTAAAAAATGTATTGTTTTCATTTTTTGTGACATAATAAACATACGTAATATACGTAAACAACTACATGTAATTTACCTTAAGTATATTATCTTCCCAACCCTGATGGAACATTGAAACAAGCGGACTTGCATGCACTCAATAATACACTTTCCATGCAGACAGGACAAAAAATGTTGTTCGCAGCACGGGCGCAAAAGGTGATTGTGGCGAAGGCGAGATTAGAGAAACCAAGGGGACCCGAAGCGCCCGAGGCGAAGCCGAGGGTGCGTAGGGTCGCCGAGGTTTCTTCATAATCTCGCCTGAGACACTATCACCTATTTTGCGCCCTTGATACGAAAATAACTATTTTATATTGTAAATAATTTTTTTTTATTAATTTATATATAACAATTGTCTCACAGTAAACTTGGTTGTATCTTTTTCTATTGCAACGTTTTGATGCACATAAGTTTATATCAAAAAGAGATCGTTTTGTGTATCATTTTTAGAAATGATACACGAAACGGTCTCATTTTTTGATGCAAAAAATTTAATCAATTTATATCAATCATGGCCGAATTGAATCGACTCAAAATTAAACGAATTTTTTTCAGATATTTTGGTAATAGTACAATTGCGGAGACTATTTCACTATTTAATTTGAAAATGAAAATAACAGAAAATCAAAGACAATGTGCAATTCGATAATTAAAAAGTGACAGCTTATAAACATAACCTAAAATGCATGAGAAAAAATTTGTCGATAAAATCAATATAGCCGAGCTTTTTAGAAGGTAGATGGCAGTTTTGCTTTTTATAAAAATGATTCAGAAAAAATTTAAAGAAAGAAAATAGATGAGTGCTGCCATCTACCTTCTAAAAAGCTCGGCTATATTGATTTTATCGACAAATTTTTTCTCATGCATTTTAGGTTATGTTTATAAGCAGTCACTTTTTAATTATCGAATTGCACATTGTCTTTGATTTTCTGTTATTTTCATTTTCAAATTAAATAGTGAAATGGTCTCCGCAATTGTACTATACCAAAATATCTGAAAAAAATTCCTTTAATTTTGAGTCGATTCAATTCGGCCATGATTGATATAAATTGATTAAATTTTTTGAATCAAAAAATGAGACGGTTTCGTGTATCATTTCTAAAAATGATACACAAAACGACCTCTTTTTGATATAAACTTATGTGCATCAAAACGTTGCAAAGATTTGATGCAATTTTTGGTCTCAATTTGATACTTTTAGGAGAACTGTGCTGCGAAATAAAATTTACGCTAAAAACTTTTATAATTAATTAAATTATCGCCCTATAAAAACGGCATTGAATGTGAAAATGATAAACATTGATTTTAAAATACTTTTTTCTCGAAACGCGGACACTTTTTACAAAATCAACCAACATACCAAGGATCCTTATTTTATAAATTTCCTAAATCCCAAAGATTGTTCAAATCCATGCAAAAATGTGATTGCAAAATGAAAAAAAAAAACGTAATACAATGACAGCTAAGACTTTGTTTCCTGCACGCTTCTGTCATCTGACGGCGACAGGACGTAGTGAACCTGCTATTATATTTACTTTCCTATTTTTTATTTTAGAATCGCGTTTTTGCATGGGTTCGCACAATCTTCAGGATTTAGAAAATTTATAAGATAATGATCCTTAGTGTTTTGGCCGATTTTGTAAAAAGTGTCCATGTTTCGAAAAAAGAATATTTTAAAATCAATAATTATTATTTTCACGATCAGTGCCGTTTTTATAGGGCTATAATTAATGATCTCTCTTTGATAATGTATTTCAGAGACTGTTTTTTGTGACATTAGTTTTTATACATTGTATGGTTCTGAATGTTTTTTTCTATTCGGCAAACTTTAGACATCATGATAGTTCAGTCTAAAGTTTAGAGATTTCAGTGTATTTGAGACTTTTAAATAAATGAAGCTCCAATAATATTTACTTATATATATATCGAACTTGCTAATCACTTTGAGCGCATTTAGATAAGTAATATAAATTTTCTTGAAGCGATATCTAAGTCAATCGATAGAGCAAAGTTTGACGAAGCAGCAACTGGAGTTTATACGTGTAGAGAAACTTTGCCAAGTTTCACTTTGTCCTCTCGTATAATCTAATTGTCGATGATGCGCGTGGATTGAAAGGTCCACGGCTCGCGTCAGTTCATGTCAATGTCGAGGAACCTAAGTATAACCTTTCATATAACAAAATTATCCCACACAAAGAAATCATTGTTAAAATGTTCTCCGGTCTAATGACATTTTTCTCATCATATAAAGCCATTCCACACCTTCACATTGAGGTGCTATTTTGGCTTTTTAGAATCGCTACTGTACGAAAGAGAAGAGTCTTATATATATATGGAAAATTTTACTTATTTTTACAATAAAATCAGCTTATTGCACTTTTTTATTTATTGAGTTATACTATACTAATATTAAATACAAATGTCATAGGTAGGAAACTCATTCAGCTACACAAATTTTCGCACTTTTAGAATTCGACAATAAACGATTCGGACAATTATGTGGCTTTTATGT